AGGCAATATTTCTTACGACCGAGGCAAGCTAGCAGTGAGATTTGTGAATTTTGCGCAAAATTGAAGATTTTTAATGACTTTGAAGTCACTAAAATTATTTATAAGCGCTTTTTGCTTCAAAAAGGTGGTTTAAGACCACGAAAAACAACCCAAAAATCACCCGTAGAGCGCTTGGAATGCATTTTTCGCGTGCAAATAGATATTCACACGTTGCCCGCTCTTCTCTTGTGGCCGGCACCCAGACCCAAAAATAACACGCGATTACTAATTATACCCAAGCGGATTCCCCCTCCCCCGCCGCCTCCTCCCTTTTTCGCTGCTTTTTGTGAGCTTTTCCTTAGCCGACCAGGATGGGGGTCGGGATGAAGAAGTTATTTCTCGCCATGGTGATGGCTATTTTGGGGGTCGGCTGGGCCCTTGTTTTCCGGTTTCCGGTTTTTGCAATAAAAAAAATATGCAAGCCGGAGATCGGGGTGAAACACCAGAGTTTGGGAGCAAAATACAAAAAATTGTTGGGCGAGCAGGAGGTGGCCTCAGAATCAGAAAATCTATGATAATAGCTAACGTAAGCCAGAATTTTCGGCATGGATTCATCCGCTTTTCAAAATTTTTTTCGGAGATCCAGTTCAAAGAGAGAGGGAGAGACAGAGAGAGAAGAGAGAGAGAGTGAGAGGGCGAGAGAGAGAGATAGCGAGAGAGAGAGGGAGAGCGAGAGAGATAGAGAGAGAGTGAGAGAGAGAGAGAGAGAGAGAGAGAGAGAGAGAGAGAGAAAGGAAAGGGATAGGCAGGGAAAGAGTGAGGAAAGAGGAGAGAGGAGAAGAGAAACCCACCTCAAAACCTATTGCTAGTTGTTGTGCCTCCTTTAAAACAGTCCCCCAAAAACCCGGATCTCTGGAATTCCCAAAATTCCAGCTATTTTCGGGGTAAAACATAAATCTTCAGGAAGGCGAGAGTATATAGCGAAAACAGTAGGTGTGTAGCAGCATCGCGGAGCTTCCCGGAATTTCTAAGCACATCCAGGTGGGCCCTAGATCGCGTGCCACCACCAGGTTCCAGAATTCCAGAAGGGAGAAGGCCAAAAACGTGCTCGGGGGGCCGGAAGTGGTGCCCATGGCGAAATTGGGGGCCCTTCAGGTGTGTAAGGCCCAGCATCACCTCTAGTGGTGCTGGGGTGGAAAATTGGCCCCCGGCCAGGGGGAACGCGCAGAAAATTGGCCAAAAAACGGACGCGATGTGTACACTTGGAGACGAACTTTGATCATGGGTTCAGATTTCGAGTCCCAAAGGATCCCTGCTAGTTTGCCCGGGAAGGTCTTGATTCCGAAGCAAATGTTGCTAGCTCGGGCGTAAAATTGGGCTAGAACGGATGTACACTTCTAGACCAAATTGAATCTTGGGGTTCTGATTTGGCGTTTCCTCAGGGATCTCTGCCAGCTTGCCCCTTGTCTCATCCAGAGGCGACGCAATTCCTAACGAAGTTCGGCTGGCTTGCCCCGAACGGCTACCGTATCCTAAAAATCCCTGCTAGCTGGCCTCAAAGAATCGCTGCCCTTGCCCTTGAAAAGTCATAATTCCAAAGAATCAGTGTTAGTCTGCCGTTGAGAAGCCGAAAATTCCTAAGGGATCTCTGTTAGCTTGCCCTGCCCCTTTGAATTTTCCATCATCAAGTCGAGCCCAATTTTCAATCTCAAAATTGACCAAAGGGTCAACTCGCGATCTTCTGGGGTTAGCAAAAAAAGTGAAGTCGTAGGGTTCAATTTTTTTTTCCAATCAGACATTAGGTGAGCTAAAGTTTTTGAAGTAATTGGCAGGCTGCCAGCAGCGGGTCTAATCGCTAGGCCCGGTTGGGTGCAAAAGAAGCTCAAAAACACCAGTATACATGCCAAAATAGGCAGGTTTAAAAGTGAAAAATCTCAGTGCGATGGCTGCAATTATAGTCATTCTTAGGCAAAAAAATGAGCCGGGAATTCTCGCTAGAAAACGGGAAAAAATTCAAAATTAGGTAGATAATGGCAAAAATTCAAGCTTTTTAAAAGGCCAAAACTGCTCGCAAATTCTTCAAAGCCAAAACTTGTCGAAATCGCAATCTATCAAATAGGGTGATGCTAAAAAAATTCTAAAATCCAGATCCCCGTGACCAACCTATCAGCTAATGCGGGACCCGCCCCGGAAACGCGAGAAGAAAAATGACCCGACCAGCGGAACCCATTTCTGGAATGGCGTGTCTATTCCATCACATCTTCTTAACGGGCCGTTAGAGGGTCTCTCTCCCTCTCACTCTCTCTCTCTCGCCTTCCAAAATTCTTTGGGGAGCAACAGGTTCGTTGGGCCCTGGAAACCGCCCACAACATCATCACCTGGGGTCAGCTCGGGGCGCTCAGAAAACTAAAACTTGAGAAAGAGCGAGAGAGAGTGAGGGTGGCGAGAGGAAGAGAGAGAGAGAGAGAGAGAGAGAGAGAAAAGTGAGCGAGAGCGAAAGAGAGCGAGCGCGCGGGAGAGAGTCAAAGAGGGGGACAGAGTAAGAAAGAGAGTAAGAGAGAGGGAGAGAGGGAGAGAGAGAGTGAGAGAGACAGATTCTATGGTATCCTGTAGTCCTTAAAATGCAATAACTGGAGGTGTCAGGGTACCTTTACAGCTTCCTAAGAAGCTGCCGCTCCTCTGTGCAGCAAAAAAATTCAGTTAGCCCACGACCCTTAAAACATCATAATCGGAAGCCAAGGTAGTGAAGCGGAATTCCTATTTACCCTCACCCAAGTTCAGCCTCAATTCTGCAATCGAGTTCGAATCGAGCCCTCTGAAACGGAGCGTAACGGAAATCTGGTCGAGGCTTTTCCCCCATTGCGAGGGAGGAGCGGTCAACCAAACCACCAAAATGCCCCCCTAATCTTCCAGGGCAACACGCGAATTTGTGCGTTGTTTGCCCATTCACTTAAGCATCGTCGTCGCGGGACGCCGGAAAACACCTAAAGATGCTACGAAAATAGGCTGAATCATTGGGGGGTTTAACGAGGATGGGGTGGCGTCATCGTGGGAGAGTTCAAGGAAAGCCTGAATTCCACTTTTTAGCGGTTATTCTGAGCTTTTTGGGTACAGTAGACGGCTCCGAGACCCGAAAAGCAGTCTGGGCGGCCTAGCAACGATTCTTTCATCTTCGGGGCAGACCAACAGAGGTCTTTGGAGTCCAAAAACTACCGCGTCTTGCTTTGTATCTACCGTATCTTTGAAGCGATGACTCGGCGAGGTTTTGGAGCCAAGGGGACACATGTTTTGTTTTGACCTCGATGGCACGCATCATGTTTTCGAAAATTTGCGTCGAGCCAGCCGAGCTCAACAAATCGTCTTAAGCTCATTCAAACGGCTTGAAACGCTGATTCCGACGTGCTAACTCGCATAGCTCAAACATCGCGTTAGTGATTTTTACTATTTTTTTAAGTTGCCACTAGGCACCCAGCAAACCAAATTACATCTCAGCGGTTTATGTTGGGACTTGGGCTTTGGCTTAGGCTTAGGCTCAAGCTTAGGCTTAGGTTAGGCTTAGGCTTAGGCTTCGGTTGACGCTTAGGCTTAGGCTTAGGCTTCGGTTGAGGCTTAGGCTTAGGCTTAGGCTTCGGTTGAGGCTTAGGCTTAGGCTTAGGCCTAGGTTAGGCTTAGGCTTAGGATTACGTTAGGCTTAGGCTTAGGCTTAGGTTAGGCTTGGGCTTAGGTTGGGCTTAGGATTAGGGTTGGGCTTGGGTTAGGCTTAGATTAAGCTTATACTTTTACTTAAGCTTAGGCTTAGCCATTCCACCCCAACCCATAAGCAATTCGGCCATGGATCTTTGCTCGATGACACGCGTACTTGCCCTCCCTGCAGACTATACAAAAGCACCAAGGGGGAGAGCACCATAAATTTATTCCCCCTCTTTTCGACGGCTGAATGACCTTGTGAAGGTGCTATGGATCCTTCTGCTCTACAGTTTGAAGGCAGAGAGAGAGAGAGGGAGAGAGAGCGAGAGAGAGAGAGAGCGGAGGCTTGGAGGGATTTGCCGGAGGATAATTGTCCTGAAGAGCCACCCCGGCCCGGATCCGTCACCCCCTTCGATCCCCCCTCCAAGATCCCCCGCTGTGTTCTGTAAAGGGTGGAACTGTGTGGCTGTCAGGAGTAGCCGAAAGGAAAACCCACAAGTTGAAGGCCACAAATCGATTTCTAAATATTTCTTGTCACGGCTTTATGACTTTATTTCTTTTTTATTTTTTTTTCATCCTTCTCTCGATTCCCCCTAAGAAATTTTACTGATTTTTTCTTTTACCTAATTTTGGCGAATTTCGTGTGGTCTTGTGCAGCCTCCTCTCGTTTTCGCTTTGTTTTCTTCGCTGTCTCTCGCTCACACTCGTTTTTTTCACGTCTTCTGTGACTCTCTCTCGCTCTCCCTCTCTTTCGATCTCTCTCTCTCTCTCTCTCTCTCTCTCTCTCTCGCTCTCTATATATCACGCCCTTCGTTTTCTCTCTGTTTTTCTAGCTCGCTCTTGTTTTATCTCGCTTTCTCTCGGCTCTCTCTCTCACACGCTCTCACTCTCTACCTTTCTTTCTCTCTCGCACGTGCTCTTGATTTTCGAATATCCTGCATTTCAGCCAAAGTTATTTTCGGTCATCTTTTTTCGGCCATTGACTATTACCTTTGACTTCATTTTGTATACTCTGAATTTTCACGATTTTTAATAGCCAAATTTTCCTCAACCCGTTAAGTCCCTTAAGCGGCTGGCGTTCACCGGGCCCCGTCGATAATTATACCTGCCGGTCAGTTCGCTGTGGCCATAGTGAAGGGCACCAAGCGCGCGCACCTGGCCCTTGGCATCAGGCCAGGTTTGGGGCCAAAATATTTACCACTGCACCATATTGCGAGTTTTGTGTCTCTCTTTCACGCTCTCCCTCTCTCCCTTTCTCTCCCTCTCTCTTTTCTTGTTTTTTGATAGTTTTATGGCAAGTCATATGCGCGATACCTTCAGAACCATGCCCAAAAATGTTCCGCGAGCACCTGGGAACGTTTGAGAACCACCAACTCGAATGCCGGGGGCTTTCCTTTGTCAGCACCGTCCATAGTGGATCATGGTAAAAATAATTCTGCTTTTAGACGTATTAGAAAACTCGAGAATCGGCCCCTTCGATCGACTAGGTCTAGACAGCCACCGAAATCGCTAAAACATACGTCAATCTCATTTTTTTGTCTCATCAGGATGTGAAGTCGAAGACAAAAGCTAGTCCGTAGCTCACAAAAAATTGGCTTTTGGCTTCTTAAAAGGAGTAGGAAATTTCAGAATCGGCCCCTTCGACTGACTAGGTCTAGACAGCTACGCAAATTTCCAAAATATGCATGCGTATCTCTATTTACCTCAGTTATCACGCACTCGCTATTCAAAAAAATCGGATCACGACGTGTTTTTTCAGCGCATCATGTATTTGTCCAGACCTAGTAGAGTTAAGGGGTCGACTCCCTCAATTTCAATACTTCTTGAAGGGCAAAATCCGATGACAATCAAAAAGTTAAGAAATTGGCTCCTTCGAAAGCAAAAGTCTCGAGTTTTCAGCTTTTCCCGACTCTACAAACCACCAGTCGTCGCCCAGTTCCTACGAGATATCACCCTTGACGTGGGGGCGGGTGAGATCCATGGCATCTGCGGAAATCACGGTACAACACACTTTCAAGTTATTACTTTTCTTTAGGCTCCGGAAAATCCGTTCTATTGAATGCGCTGGCCTCTAGGGGTCGGGGAGGGACTGGAGGGACCGTGTTGCTCGATAAGCAGCTGCTCACAGGTTTGAAAATTCATTTTTAAAAGGGCTCGGAAGGCAAAAGGCCCTTAAACACTCTTTCTAGCAGCCCGCTTCCGGAAATCCTGCTCTTTCGTTGATGCGACAACTCGATTACTGCCGTTTTTGACGGTCCGCCAAACCCTTTACTACCAGCTCAAGTTGACGCTGTCGGGAAGGCTGACCTCTTCACAAATCGAGGATAGGGTAGGGGAGAGAAATGAGAGGGAGAGAGAGAGAGAGAGAGAGAGAGAGGGGGGAGAGAGAGGAGGAGAGAGGAGAAGGATAGAGAGGGGTGGGGAGGACGGAGAGCAGGAGGAGAGAGGACACGGATAGTTCTAATTCGAGAATTTCAGCTTCTAACCCTCCTTCAAGATTGGGAACTTCTTGGCTACGGTCACGAGCAAATTGGAGCACTTTCTGAAAGTGCAAGGCGAAGAGTTCTGATGGCGCTTGGGACTGCTAAAGATCCAGGTTAGTTTATCTCTAGCTCTTGCTCTTGCTCTTTCTTGCTCTCTCTCTCTCTCTCTCTCTCTCTCTCTCTCTTCCTGATCCCTGATTTTTTAGTTCTCCTCATCGCCGACGACCCGATCCGCGACCTCGAACCCTTGTCGGCCTACCAGTTAATGCTGTGTTTACAGGTGAATTTTAAAAAGTACCGTATCGAAACGTAGCGTAACTTAGCATACCTCACCTTACCGTAATATACCTATTCTAGTATAACTCTACTTAACGCACCGTTTCAATTTCAGACCTTCATCAAGCGCCATCGTCGCCTAGCCATAGTATCCATGCGTACTCCACGCTCCGACATTTCCCAGCTGCTCGACAAGATAACGATACTGTTTTTCGGGGAAATGGTGTACTCGGGTAAGCCCTGAGAACATAAAATTTGCCTTCACATGGCCTTTAAAGGCACCAGCAAACACCGACTTCGATCCCTACCATCAACTAGGTCTAGACAACCTGACGACACGCTAAACCAGCGTGGTCACACCTTATGTTTTTTTTTTCAAAACAGTTTATCCAAATGGGCTATAAAATAAGATATGTCCTTTGGCGTGTCACCTATTTGTCTAGACCCAGTCGATGCAAGGCGTCGATTCTTGGCTTTCTAGTTTCTTTAAAGTCGTATTTTTCAGGTCCCACCAACAAACTCCCACTCTACCTCCACCACCTCGGGTTCGTATGTCCGCCGAATGAGAACCCGGCTGCCTATCTAGGTACGGTAGTGCTTGCGTAGTTTAATGACAATTTTTTACTATGGATCAACATTCATAAGCTATTAATAATGCTATATTACAAAGTTACAATTATAGTCACCCTCTCGACGATCAACAAGGAAAACGCTGTCCTTTATGCCGAGACGCAAGAGCAAGCCGGGCGGCTGGTGGAAGCTTTTAGGGTAAGTGCGTGGCTTCAAGCGGCCTTTAAAGGCACTCGAAAAACAAAATCTAAACGCTGAAAATTCTTGTGTTTTCAGTCCAAATCCAACCTAGTGGAAGGCAGATCCAACGCCGATTTGTTTGGGTGTGCGGCCAGCTCGGCGTTATGCAATGGAGCTCGACCTGGACTGCTCGGACAGTTCGGAATTTTGTGCAGGTGAGAGAGAGAGGGAGGGAGAGAGAGAGGGGGGAGAGCGCGAGCGAGAGAGAGAGAGAGAGAGCGAGCGAGATAAAACCATAGCGAGCGTAAGAGCGAGAGAGAACGTAGGAGTGAGAGAAGAGAGCGAGAGAGCGCGAAAGAGAGAGAATTTTCCTTCCAAAAACTTTTTAGTCGCACCCTCCACTGCACAGCCCTTCGATGGAATTCTATATTTTCGATGCTAGCCCTATTACCGGCTTTTGGCTGTTTTCTATCGATATTTGTAGCCCCAGCATCAAAGCCATCCTTTACGATACCGCATTCCACAGCTATGCAAATGAGCTTCCTCACCCTAACAGCTTCGGTTTTTGGATCTCTGACAACGATAGGGAGCTGTAAGTTGTATAAAACGTAGCTTTTCTTGAAAACGCGTGGTGTCCCAACGCCTTGAAAGCAAAGAGGTGGAAATCTACCCTGTTTGCGACCAGGTCTAGACAGATACGCCAAATAACGTCGATCGCGTAGCTGTCGAGACCTAGTCGATTGAAGAGTGGCAAAGTGGAAATTTTTTGATCTCGTTAAGCTACTGAATGTATTTTAGTCAATCCCCTACGAAGACTACTATCAACAGAAGCGCCAGAAAGACTGTACCCCGGAATTTTTATGCCTATCTCCTACTTCCTGATCACCACCATTCCCCACCTTCTCGGACTGCTCGGATTTGTGGCCGGGTTTTTCTGGTGGGTCTGAAAAGCGAAATGAGTGCTGCCGGTTTCAAAATCCAGGCTTAGGCATAGGCTTCGGCTTAGGCTTAGGTTTAGGCCTGAGCTTAGGCAGCCACATTCAGTATAAGTTCAGGCTCCTCGACCAGCATGACATTGCGCTGATTTCTCAGTCCGGTCTCGTCTTGTTAGCCTGTTTTTTGATAGGCCAGGCCGTTGCGCTAGTCATTTTATTGTGCGTACGGTAAGTCTAAAATAGGTTTTTTTTTGTACCCGAATTTTCCTAGAAATTTCTGGACGGCTTTCACGGCTACCACCGTATTCCATTGTTTTTGGTGGATTCTAGGCGGCGGGATCGTTAGGTATGGGAATCCCTGACTATTTCTTGCTCTATCTCGCTCTCTCTCTCTCTCTCTCTCTCTTCTTTCTCGCTCTCTATCTCTTTTGCTATCTGAAAATACAAGTTCATTTTCAGGGCCTATTCCACCCTCAACGACACCCCATTCTACCTCGATAAAGTGGGCGGGGCTAGCCCGTTTCGATATGGAAACAAGGCACTTATCGATTTGGCACTACGGGACTTACCTGTGAACGGGTGTCAGCGGAATGAGAGAGTCGATATCGACAATACTCCAGTGCAGCGGTTTTGCAGGTGGGAGAGAGATATATATACAGAGAGAGAGCGAGAGCGAGAGAGCGCGAGAGAATAATTTCATCTTTTTTCAGATGGCCCAATTCTAGCCATTGGATTCAAGAGATGTACCCAGAAAAATTCTTTCCCGACAACTACGAACAAAACCTCATTTTTCTCTTCTCATTTGCGTTTGGGTATTTAATGCTAGTATTTTTACTGTATGCTATATGGAAGCCAATGCCAAGTAGGGCCAAAAATAGCTAGCAAAACGGAGTTTTATATGTTTTTCAGTGGGTTTATGAAATCAGAATTTTTGACTTGCCGTCTTAACCCCTTTAAAACGCTGCATCTTAATTTGTTTGTGATGTTTTTAGCTAATTTTCGACGAATTTACGGGTATTTTCAGATGCTTTATAGTTGCATAAATTATTATTCCTAAAAAAACAGAAATGTCAGGAAATGGTAATACAATCGACAATTAAATGGGTAGGAGATCCATTCCTCCAAAAATCCCGGCATACTGTGGACGGGGTACGGTATAAAAAACGGGGAAAATCAACAGGGTACAACAAGAAAAGTCGTAAAATTGGAAAACGGGAAATAAATAGGGTGGTGGAACCCGGTGGTAGTGGTGGCTGATGGTAGCTGGTGGGTAGGAGCAATGGAAAAATCTGAAAGTCTGGTTAAAGGACCGTTGAAGGCTGATCACGATAGCTGTAGTTTACCCGATTTTTGCGAAAAATTCCATTTACTGATTTTACTACAGAAATTGTTTTTAAGTTTGGAAACGTGGAAAAAACGATTGAAAATAAAAGTGGCAAGTAACAACCCAAATTTTGCTATTTTTGATGTTTGGATGTTTTTTGACGTCCAAAAATGCATTATCCAAATGAAATTCATATTGTAAAAAACCAAAAAGGTGATTTTTTTTATTGGATAAAGGAAAATCGTCGAAACTGAAGCATTGATTTGAACGCATTTTTTTATATGGAGCCATTTTTTCAGAGCTGTGATGTTTCTAAAATGCCATCCGATAGAGCATCGAAAAACACACTAATACTTTTCTTAGAACCCGAGAAACTGATATTTAAAGCTATTATTACAGAGAACTAATGCGAGAAATCGTATTTTCTGATCATTTTTAGATAAAATCCATTTCATTGAATCCGTTTAATTGTAGGCGCTACTTACCTATTTTCCCATGTACGCATCGATCTGGGCGTTCAGCTCGGCCTCGCTCATGCGCTTGGGCGGGGCGCCGCGGGATTGCTGCAGGTAGCCGCGCTTCCGGATGCCGCCAACCCCTCGTACACGTCCATAGTAGGGGATGGAGGGCTGGGTGTTGTTGCGGTACTGAAAAAAGGAAAGTTTTCTTGAAAAAACTGTTCTTCAAGGCAGTAACAACTTTTACAATAGATTACGGCATGAAAATGCACAAAAAATGGATACGTTGACCTACCTTTTGCATAAAGTTGATCGGGGTGGGGCGCTGGCCAAGGAGGAAGAATTTCAAGGGGCGGCCTGAAAAATCCTCCGGTTTTTAAGAATAGTTTTTGTATGCAAATTTAGGCGAAAAAACGTTATAAAATACAGATTTTAAGCTGAAAACCCCACCATCAATCCTGAGGCCCTCGTTGTCCCTGATCAAGGCGGCGGCGGCGTTGGGGCGAGTTCTGAAAATTCCGACATAAAGCGAAACAGAGAGAGAGAGAGAGAGAGAGAGAGAGAGAGAAAGAGAGAGAGAAAGAGAGAAAGAGAGAGAGATCTTTCGCTCTTACCTGAAGTGAATATCAGCTGTCCCAACCGGAAGTCCCTCCTCATCATAATGGACCGTGATGCCGTCGTGGGGGTACTCGACGAAAAGCTCCTGAAATATCACATTTACTCCTTTTTTCTATAATACCCTGTTTGTTCTTTAAGCTTGATACGTTTTTAAACATTAAACTACGCGATTTTAACGTTTTGAAAGCTTAACAAAAGTTTTCGCGTTTTTTTTAAAGCTTCCAGAGCTCAGCCTTCGATTTTCAGGTAATAAAAAGTATTTAGAAAGCCAATTTTCGATATTGATGCCACTTATTATATAAAGTATAATAAATTATAGCTCGCCTCCAAATCCAACACCGAGACGTTATACAAATTCGCGATATTGACCCGCACGGGGCCGGAAGCTTGTGGGATGGCTCGGGACTGGAAGCCACCGTGCATCGGCTGGAAACACGAAAATTTAGTAAATATTATGCTCCATCGATCGATTATAATCTTTTGATCGTTTCTACTCCTACCTGTCGATATCCAAATCCACCACGTCCACCTCGAAGTCCTCCTCGCCGGAAACCGCCGCGCTGCGATCGCTGGGTTTGGATGATATCATCAAGCGGAGCGTCGACGTTCATCGGCATTTTCTGAAAACGAGAAATTTGCTTGTAAAGCTAAGGATCAAAATGGTATAAGTGAATTTAACGAAAAAGATGTAGTACAACGAGCATGAGAGGCAGGTAAGTGCATTTTTTAGAGGATTGAACATTTACGGCCCAGGAAACAACTCAAATATCGTTAACCGATTTTTTTTAATGAATAAGAATGAGCTAAAACCGTAAAATTATATAAAGGCAGATTCGAAAGCAGGCCGTTCGTTTCGTGGCGTAACGGGCGTTCGACCGGGGGCTGTGTGGGAGAGTGAGCGGGGGCGCGGGATAGCAGACGCCAGATCGGCGGACTGGAGGAGACAGATGCGCCCCTACAATTTGTGTAACTTTGTAAAACGCGCGCTTTATCGAGTTTATAAAAAATTCTATAACTTATCATGGCTTTAATAATTCGTTTTTCGAAACATAGCATTTGCTGCCTGGGAAGGCATGCAAATTAGGGGTATTTTTGAGATAAATGCATAGAACTTGGTAAAAAATTACAAATAGCAGATTGGCATATAAAATCGGTTATTTTAGCATTTATTTAATTAAGGTTTATTACACACATTTTTCCGAAATTATTCCTTACTAAAAAAAGGCAAATTCACCCTTTCGAACGTAATAATTATTCAAATCAGCTGAAATTTGGATTTAAAAATAGCTTGTAAAAGTTAGGCAATTAATTGTTCATTTTTTACAAGTTCTATAACTTTTTATAGGATGCATTGCGGTAAAGAAAAAGAGTTTTGCACGAAGGAAAAGATTTCTGGCATCGTGTGAACTAGTCAAATGAGCGTCTTGTACGTATCGATGAAATATCGACCCTTTATTTACCCACAATTCCAAAAAAATCACGAACATACAAAGTGAGAATGATACTTTTGGAGCACCGAGCTTGTCTAAAAATGGCTAGCAGGAAAATGAGATCATCGGCGGGGAAGTGAGGCATTTTTAGGGAAGAAACGAGCAGAGAGAAAAGAGGTGTAAAAAGTAGAAACGGACGCACAGCAATTGAAATTCAAAAGTTTTTAAAAAGTATTAGGCACCGCAGAAGACCCTATTTTAACGCAAATATGGCATCGGGATCAGCTGGGGAATTTTTCGTTAGTCTGGCTGAAATTTGGAGGAGTGGAAATTTCTGGTGTGTTTGCCCAGCTTTTGGGTTCAATGGCATCAAAACAAAGCGAAATTTTGGGGTAGAAAAAATAAGAAGGCAAAGCTTATTAAATAGATAAAAAAAAAGAAACTATATAAGATTTAAAACGCGTAAATTTGTGTTTAGAACACGCAGAAAATCACCAAAACTGTAGCAGGGGCGGAAATTAAAGACATTCAATACAAAAATCTAATGCAAAAGGCAAAAAAAAATTACAAAAATCTAATGCAAAAGGCAAAAAAAAATTACAAAATAAGAGAAAAGGGGAAAAATAATTGAGAATTTTATAGAACAGCAGAGAAAGTCCGATTGAAGACCATCTCGTGAATGCAGTCGACGTAGCCGAGGTCAAAGTCGGGGTCTGCCCGCGCGAACAGCTGTCGGCTATCACTGAAAATCTCCGCACTAATGGGATGATAACGCTCGACAGCAGCATTAATAGACGGCCCTTCCCGCATTTTTCCCAAATTATCATTCAAAAATTATACGTTGTGACCTCAAATTGCGATTTTTTTGGAATGAGCCTAAAAACTTTTCATTAAATTTACTTTTTAACGGCTAAAGAAATAGAAAAATTAATCTAAGACAGACCGATTGACAAGAATATTATTACGATATTTTATATTGACTAAATATTTATTTCAGATAACGTTTCTTTTATAGCTTGTTTAATTGATAAATTTATAGCAATCTCGCGTTTCTCATTCATTAAAATTTAGAGGACCATTGTGATTTTAATAACAAGAAATACAATATTTTCAGCAGCCTGAAATGTTATACTACGTCATCCAAACTAAATTTCAAGAAACATAATTATTTCCACGTCTTTCAAAACCTACGCATCGTCGGCCAAATCCTCCATCCCGTGAACGCAGTGCCCGAATTCGTCGAAATGTTCCGTACGACATGTTTGATTGGCAGGAGCCTCGAATTTGGCAGTAGTGAAGTCTGAAAAAAAAAAGATTTTTCTCTTAGAGTTTATTTTAAAGTACTAATATAATTATCCATAGCTTTGTGACTCTAAACAACACCTTTTCTGGCCAAATTCTTATCGATGAAGTCGTAAAGCAGCCCGCTGAAGTGCCGGCTGATGAAAAGTGGCTCCAGCTTCCGTTGCCACCACTGGACGATCGTCGATTTTAGATGTACTAAAAAAATCTTATTAATAGCTCAGAAAATCGGCATTTCCGACCTGATGCCGTGGCATTCATTTGCGTCATTTCGCTCAGCTGGTTTTCGGTGATTTCGTGGAGGCCGATTCTGAAAGAAAACTGGCTTAAAGGGACTGGCATGAGCAAAAATCGACCCCTTCGATCGATTAGGTCTAGACAGTTACGCAACACTCGAGTCTCTCTGTCTTTCTCACTTTCTCCAATCTCACTCACTCACTCACTCACTCACTCACTCTCTCTCTCTCTCTCTCTCTCTCTCTCTCTCTCTCTCTCTCTCTCGCTCTCTCCTGCCCACGCACTCTAGGAAGGTTTTTCGCCGCTTCTTGTAACTGCCTAGACCTAGTCAATATCCGAGGTAGATTTTAGCCTTACGGATCCTTTTAAAGAGAACAGGCTGCAATCAAGAATTGCAGTCGGATATATACGATACCTTGAAGAATTCCTTAGGGCCGCCAGGGCCTCTCCGATCCGTTGTATGGCCTGTAGCGGAACGTCGGCTTCCTGAAATTTTTGGCTTTTTTGGACAGAGATCCGAAATACCATGAGCACCGCCAAATGCTGCCAATCGTACATCGGCATCGCGGCCAGGCAGGCTTTCTGGGCGGCGAAGTACTGAAACACATAGAAAAGTATGTAAATTTTTGAGTTTCGATACTTTCGTCCCATCCTAAAGCGCCTACCTGAATCGGGTCAGATCCGTTGAATTTCCCCGGCGGGACCACCACGTTCAGCATGCACATTCCAAGGTTACGGACCTAAAACATGCATTTTAATCAAGGGTTTTTTGAAATTGTAGAGGTCTATTAAAGGGGCCCACAAGCGCTAAAATCGACCCCTTTCACGGCTAGGTCTCGACAACTACGCAACTCACTAATTTTGAAAGTAACCCCCTTCAACCCACCTTGGCCTCAAATTCTGGTGTTGAATTTGCCTCGACCGGCATGCAGTAAAAATGCGATGGCGAGTACATCATGCTCAACGTCCTTTCCATGAAGGAGTAGTGCTAAAATGTGGATAGTTTAGTTGATACCGTAGCCTCACCTGCCTTGCCAACAAGCCGGATGAAGTAGATGGGGTAGTAGAACTCGAGGCGCGCAGGGAGGTAGATGGGGAAGTATCTGGAAAAATGGGCTTTTAAAGGACAAGAAAGCGCAAGAATCGACCGTTTCGATTGACTTGGTCTAGACAACTATGTTACACGCCAAATTACGTGCTCCAAGCGGCTAAACGACGCACCTCCGCTTCTTGATGCCCCAGCATCCGGCTAGAACTTTTGTAGGTGCTTCGTGTACGCTACGGTTCATCACGTAGTCGGCCAAAAGCCCCTGGCCTTCGACAGAATTGTCCATGTAGCGTGCACATTCCAGGTTAATGCGTGGTGGGATCGGGATGAATTGGTGAAGCCTGAAAAATTACTTTAAAGGTACCATTAAGCGCGAGAATGTACTGACTAGATCTCGGTAGGTCTCGACTAGGTGTCATCGACTAGGTCTCGACAAAACGTTACTGACCAAAATATGTCGCAATCTCATGCGTCGATTGCTTTTTCACAAAAAAATGGTTTTGACGTGGAAATACAACACGATTATTGCGTGTTTTGGAGTCTTGCGTATCTGTCGAGACCTAGTCGATGGAAGGGGTAGATTTTTCAAGTTTTTGGTAGCATTAAACGAACTTTTAACTTACTCATAAACGATGTACACGACGAAAACGGCGAAGAAGATGAGCAAACATGCCCCCAGCACGTATGCGCCGACCGCGCAAATCGACTTCACCAGCTTTTTCGAGCCCCTCGACCGATCGATCGACATTTTTGTGGAGGTCTAGCTCATCGGGGTAGGCTTTGAACCTGGAATGATAAATTCGCGTGATAGGACGAAACACAGCGACATGACAAAAAAAAGAAAGTAGACACTGGAGCTCGTAGCCATGCGTACTAGTGCCTAGTGGCACTTAACTTCTGAAGGAGCCCAGAAAAACAATATTAAATGCTAGCCGGACACGTCAAATTCTACGTTTCCACGCTGCCAGGTTTAGACAATTGCATGATCCCAAAGCACATCTAGAAGTTTCTCGTGTATGTCTAGACCTAGCTGATGGAAAGGGTTGATTTTCGCGGTTTAAAGTCTGTTCAAAAAGGAGTAGAGGTGATGCGAATGTCCATCTCAAAGGTTCTTAAAAAGAACGTGAAAGAGAAGATGATAGCGAGAGAGAGAGAGAGAGAGAGAGAGAGAGAGAGAGAGAGGGGAGAGAGAGGGAGAAGGAGAGCAGGTAGAGTAGCATTCTAGAGAAGAGGGGAGAATAGCGTAGATATCATCAACTTCCGAAACTCCGGAGATCGCGAAAATCAACCACCTGCAGCCGACTATAGAGCCTGGCATTTCAAATTACTCAGGAGCCCTTAGATTACTTATGTTTCAAAAATTCAAGGCCAACGACGTCATTCACCACATCGCGTACCTGTCTAGATCTAGTCGATGCAGGGGTCGATTCCCACTGCCTTTAAGGAGACCCAAAATCTGAGGAAGGTGGGAGGAAAGACTGGGGAAACAAATTAGTCCCAACAGTCCTCCAAACAGTGCAACAATCGATCCAAAAACTTGGGGCGGGCAAAACAAGACTGTGCCCCATGATGGGAGTTGGTGGGGTTGGCATCTACACAACGAATCGGAGACCTCGCGCAAAACGGACGAAACAAGACCACACAGTGGATCTCGCAGATCCGGGAGCTCGACCACGCCTAGCGACTAAAGACTGATGCGATGTGATGATGCTCGGCATCCGCTGGTCCGCGCGATCAAGTTATGGTTGGTCGGATCGGATCGAAAATATTGCTCAAAGCCTCTGATCGACCCGCCAAGCACGTGTTTTGGATTTTTGGTGACGTTGGCAAGATGCCAAATGTAATAAGCCTGGAAAAGCCTTTTAAAGGGGCTGAGAAGCACTAAAATCGACCCCATCCCGTAGACTAGGTTTCAATCTTGGTGTCCGGTCATTTAAAACCTTAACGAAATCACGTTTTCAAAAAAAAACGGATTGAAATGGTATCAACATCGAAAAACTATAGGGATGGTAAGATCCGTTAAAAAACTAGGAAGCGCAAAAATCGACCCCGTTACTTCCCTAGGTATCGACAGCTACGCGACACGCCAAAACACGTAACTTTGTGGGTTTTTACACAGTTTTAGCCCAGCTTCATATGCCTGGTGGCTATCAAAGTTTCTAAGCGAATTAAGAATCACATGTTTTTTGGCGTGTCGTGTAGCCGTCTAGACCTAGTCGACCGAAGGGTTGATTTTTGTGCATCCTATACCTTTTAAACATAGAAAACGTAATATTTCTAACAATGGCGACTCTTCGATTTCTTAGCCGTTTTATCAATCGAGCAAAAAATTCGGGGTGGCGAAAAGAAAACCAGCTGACGAATCGCCGAGGAGAAGCCCCGAAAAAGGGAGAAGCCCGAGTGAAATGGCCGGGGTGAGCCGCCACGCAGCGCGGGGAAAACAACGGGAATGGCCTGTTTGCGGAAATTGGAGAATGACCCTACCTTGTTTCGCTCGTGCTCACTGGACGTACTCTCTCTCTCCCGCTCTCTCGCGCTCTCTCTCTCTCTCTCTCTCTCTCTCTCTCCCTCGCTCATACAGTGGAACTACAGTCGCGCGCCCAAAACACGTTCGAAATGCCTGTAACCAGAATTGCCTGTAACCAGAACGTCAAGCTGTCAAGCGTTCGAGCGTGGAACGGCCCTATCACTCTCTCTCTCACTCTCTCTCCCTCTCTCTCTCTTTCTTTCTCTCTCTTCTCGATCCCTCTGTCTCTCTCCCTCACTCTGGCTCTCTCGCTCTCTCTTTCTCTTTCTCTCTCTCTCTCTCTCTCTCTCTCTCTCTCTCTCTTTCGATCCCTCTGTCTCTCTCTCCCTCACTCGACAAAAACCCATTCAAATTATCAAAACACCAAAACAGAAAAATTTTGCTTTTCTAATTCCTCAAACAAAGTGCATAAAAACAAATCCTTTCTCTATCATTGGCTGATCGAGGTATTCGTTTAAATCAAAACCCACAAAAAATATCCCTGGAAAGCGGATTGTCGTGGACAAAAATCTTCCGGGAAATTGGCTCTCCCCCCTTGCCCCTCTTGCTCAAATCGAATCCACGGTTTGCGGGGGTGAGCCCGAGAGGGGAGTACCGGGTTTTCACCGCTTTTTGGGAAGCCGGGAGTCGATCTTTCGACCTTCTTTCGATTCGCTACAAGGAGCAAGGGAGCGAGAGATTGCAACGGAGTGAACGTGTGTATTTTGAGGGTTCGAAAATACAGTGATTGTACTTGGGTGGAGATTTTGACTTGATTAAAGGGAGACGCATCTCTCTCTCTCGCTCTCTTTCCCTCCGTCTCTCTTTATCTCTCTCTCTCCTCTCTCTCTCCCTCTCTCTCTCTCTCTCTCTCTCTATCTCCCCCCTCTCTATCGGTCAAAAATAAGTTACAAATTACTCCAGAAGACATTCAAATATGCAAAATATTTGTATTTATTCCGGAATCTTCAAAATAACGCAGAAAAAAGCATCAAAACGTGACAATAATCGCATTTATGCTTTGAAAAACGTGGCTGCAGATAATCATGTGTCGTTGACCAGGACGACTGTCCGATGCCTCTCCTCCCTGGGAAAATCGGGCGATCTGAAGTACCTGCAAAAGAAGAGGGACCAAACTCTCTTTTTGGGGAGAGGGACAACCCGGAAATCGGATCGGCCATGTTTGATAGGCAAATATGACAAGGTCACGCTTTTTCCCCGATCCAAAATAATGTCTGTTAGCCTGCCCTTCCATTCCCAAATGATCTCTGCTAGACTGCCCCTTCCATTCCCAAATGATCTCTGTTAGCCTGCCCCTTCCATTCCCAAATTATCTCTGCTAGCCTGCCCCTTCCATTCCCAAATGATCTCTGCTAGCCTGCCCCTTCCATTCCCAAATGATCTCTGCTAGCCTGCCCCTACCATTCCCAAATGATCTCTGCTAGCCTGCTTAGATTTCCCAAAATACCCACTTCTCCCTCAGCTTCCGGAAAAACTGCTCGCTATCCTCGGACGCACATCGCATCGGCGGTGGCGACGCTTTGGGGCGCGACTCCCTAAAAGGGACGTTTTTTAGGGAACACGGGTGGGCGCGGAAAACAGAGGGGCAACACGTCATTTTCTAGGAAAAACCGTTGGGTGGGGGTAGGGGGGAGGTAGCTCTGATTGACAATTCGCTTACCGGAGCATCCTTTGCAGATAGCCATCTAGTTCGGCGGATAGACGGTCCCAGGTCTGCAAAACGAGAGCTAGTAGAGATTTTTTAGAGGGTTTTTGTAAAGGGCAGGCTAGCATAAGAACCTGCTGCTAATAACGGCGATTAGCTGGAATTTTTGCGGAATTAGAAGAAGTGGCAGGCTGGCAGACCCAATTGAGGAAATCAGGTCGTTGAATATTTCCAAGGAAACTAGCAAAAATCGCTGAGGGATCAGGGAGATCGCTTGCTAGCCTAAATTTTTAGTGGTAGCGAGAGACCCAGAGAGAGAGAGAGAGAGAGAGAGAGAGAGAGAGAGAGAGAGAGAAAGAGAAAGAAAACAAGCAAAAAAGCTGAAATTTCCTCAAACCTCCTCATGCTCATCCCAAAAATGGACGTGCGTCGTACTGCTGCGTTTCGCGGTCTCTTTACCCTCGTTTTTCACGGCTTCAGGACTCTCATTCGGCTTCTGAAGTCCGTCCCCAAATAGCCCCGCCAAGTCCTGGATTGCCGGAGAACTGAAAATCAAGAAACTTAGCAAAGTTCGAATAAAAATACAGCGTACCGTGGTAAGGAACAGAAGCTGTTCCTCCTCGACTCGGTCATTGGCGAGATTTGGCGATCAATTTTGACAAATTTTTCGGTCTGCGTGCCTTCATCTCGAATTTTGTCTTCCTAGAAGAAGCACTAAATTGCGTGAGTTGCTTAAAGGGACTAGGAAGTACGGCATTCGACCCATTCCATGGTCTAGGTCTAGATAGCTGGCAACGGGCGGAAACACGAATGTGAGAGCGTTTGAAATTTTCTCTAACGTGAAGTTCAGAGCATACATTAACATGAGCACGGGTCGTGTATTGGCGGGATGCGCAGCAGGCCAGACCTAGTCGATAGAAGGGGTCGCGCTTCCTGTTACCGGAAAAACCAATACCTCAGTTTGCGTGGCTTCCGTAATCTTCAGGAACAAATTTGGGGCCGGCTCCGGTGGCTCGTTTCCATTGCCGTTTTCGTCGAAAATTTGTAGATTCAGGTCGACTAGTCGGCATTCATCTCCAAGATCGACACCGTCGGATACGATTTTTACTAAAATATTCAAGAGTATTTTATTATAAAATTTTGGACTATTTTATGCGATTTTAGAATGTTCTTAACTAAAGAATGTTTAAAAATTTAAAGCTCCTAATTCAAGGGCCAACTTGCCTATATTGTTCGACACCTTCAGCCGCAGCTGCTTTGCCACCAAGAATTCGTGGCTGGGCTCGATTTCAGAGGTCAATTCGCGTAGCTGGTTTCGGATTAGTTTACCCCCGATTTCAGTGCTTATCTGAAATTCATGGCCATTTACCAACGCTTACTAGTACTGATCTTTACCTGAAGAATATGCTAAACGATACCTTAAAGGTTTCTGCCCTGTAGCAGCCCGTGAATGCATTGATACGCTGCCGGACCATATTGAGGACATTTAGGATCGGGGCACCGTGAATCTGGAATTTTTTGTTTTCTCGTTTTTCTTTTCTTTTTTCCCCTTTTTTTTTCTTTTTTCTCTCTCTCTCTTTTCTTCTCTCTCCCCCCTTTTTTCTCTTTTTTCCCCCCCCCCCTTTTTCTTTTTCTCTCTCTCCTCCCTCTCTTTCTAGCTCTCTCTCTCTCGCTCTCTCTCGCTCCCTCTGCCATCCCTGAAGTCATTTTCGTACCTTAAATGTCGGCATCTCCACCAATAGCATAAAAATGAAGTCGAGCTCCCCGGCAGTGCGTTTGAGAAAGCTGATCCGGCCCATCTAGAGCAGCATCTTAAAATTTATCCTAAACCCGAGTGAGAAACCGGTATGTGCGGCTCCAGGGCGCTCCGGAATAGCCTCGCCCCGGTCCACGTCTTCCATTGATTCAGGAAAAAGTTTGTCGACATGTCCTCCATCGTCTTGAAGGCGAATAGCAGATAGCCAGGATCGGGCAGAGACGGCGTGTCGATTTTTGGTTCGAGCGTCTGGAGGACTCTGTAGATTGCTGAAAAACCGGGGTTTTCGATCTAACGGGACTGGGAAGTCAAAAATCGATTAGTTCTTGAAATTCTGGTGATAACAGCTTTTATTCTATGTATTCTATGCTGGGCTGAAAATCGCGCGGGTTTTTTATATGGAAAGAAGCTTTTAGGCCATTTTCCAAAGCTTAGAGGACAGTCCCTGACCCATTAATTCCTTTAAAACGATACCGTTTGCTTCCGATCCGCCCAAGCCATTGCCATTTTGTGATTCCGTAACAATACCATCGACGCAGGCAATGTCGATAGTAGGATAGAGTCCTGAATTACTCTCTCTCGCTCTCTCTGGCTCTCTCTCTCTATGGCTCATTCTCGGACGCTCGACCTCTTTTTCCCCCCTTACCTCCATCCTTTTCGACGCTTTTGAAGCGTTTCAAGGTTATCGATTCCACAGTAGGATGGCCGAAATCAAGATGAGAGCAAAGCTCAAAATTTCCGGGCGCATCTTCCGGTTCGTAGAATTGGACAGCGACGTAGCGCTCGAACATCTGAAGCTTAACGGATAACGGATGACGAAATCGAAGAATCAACTCCTTCCGTCGACTAGGTCCAGTCGTAGGTGTCTAGCCCAAGGCGTACGACGGGGTCGATTCAATCGCTTCCTAGCGCCCTTAAAGTGCAAAATTTTTTGCAGAATGTGTGTGCGTGCTAATCCGAAAAAGACAAGAAGAAAAGGTCCAAAAACTGCTAAGTAGCCCCGGGGGCTTATGCCAATATTCTGTGCCCAACCTCCGGGTGGGAGCCCAAATTGGATTCCCCCAACAATTGCCCCACCACAAACAATCTGCCTTCTCCCACCCCTGGTTGTCACTTTTTTCGCAGCGGACAACAAGAATACTTTTGAACTGCATTTTTGCGCATAAAAATACATAGGAAAATATATGGTATCTTTATTCAAATTACCCAAAAATATCGTGACTATGTAATCAAAGACCCGTGCTGGGATATATGGAATTACAAAGGTAAAGAGAAAGCTAAAAGAATGAGACAGAGAGACAGAGCGAGAGTGAGAGAGAGAGAGCGATAGAGAGAAAGAGTGAGAGAGAGTGAGAGCGAGAGACAGAGAGAGAGGGAAAGATACAAATTCAAATCCTATTCCTTATTCTTCGGCCCGCCCTTGTAGAAGCCCTTCAGCTGATCTGGCGGGTCTGTAGCTGCTCCATACAAATACGCGAGCTGCGTGAATATCCGCTTCATTTGCGTGGTTGTTTTGTAGGCGCCTGAAACGCAAATTTTTTGATAGAAGCTGGGCAAGAGAAAAGTGTGTGGAAGAGCTCAAGAGGGAGTTTGAAAGGGATGGAAGAAAAGGCCTCTCACCAAAAATATGGCTCCGCGCCAACATCTGGAATTCCGTTTGTTTGTCGTCCCATTGGAAGCTGAAATCAAAGTTTGTTAAGCCCAATAAAGCTATTGACAAAGGTTGAAGGGTAAAGTGGCAAGCGCGAAAATCGACTTCTTCCATCAACTAGGTCTCGACAGTTACGCGAGATGGCAGAACACGCCCAAAATCGCGGTTTGACTCCTTTTAGTCAAAACTACGATTTCTTAGGGCTATGAAAATTATTTTAAGATTAGTTTCGGCACTTTCGGTATTTGTCTAGACCAAGTTGACCTACGGGATCGATTCTCGCCTTTGCAAGTTTCAAAAAACCTACTTTGAGCCATAGGTATGGAAATCATGGGTCGCGTTGATTTCCTTTGCCAGCGTGCCAGTGACCCAGGCGTCGTCTACCTAAAACCAATATATATTTCGTCCGGGTTGTCAGCATTCATTGACGTATAGATTGGCACATCGTGGAATATATTACTGCATCGCAAAAATTAAAAAAAATCACGATTTATGACTTACCGAAACGTAAAATTCGTGCTGCTCAGCTTGATGCACTAGCGGACCGCAGAGGTCGGCTGTCTAAAAATTATCATTAAGTGGTTTGAACAGTTTTAACAATATTTTTTTTGCATAAAATTATCTTTATTCTTAAATTTTTGCCTATTAAATTTATCTTACTACCTGCAACAGCGCCGGCCCGCTACAATAGTCCTCCCAGTTGTCGCCTGGATGAGCCTCTTTTGGGACGTACCTAAAATTGACATGTTTTTTCGTTCTTCTGCCTTCACGATCCCTTTAAAAACGGCAAATGCTCACCATGGGCTGTGGATATCCCTATAGACGGGTCCGGCAAAATTTGTGCACGTGAAGCTGCGCTTGGTTTGGATTTTCCCGGCTTGCTGAAGGTCCTGGAAGATCCAGAAGACGTTGGGAAGAATGTCGTCTGAAAAGGTGAGAGAAACAGAGAGAAAGAGCGAGAGATAGAGAGAGAGAGAGAGAGTGAGAGAGAGAGAAACTCACCATCCATTTTGACGATCATCTTCACGTCCGGGCAGTAGTCACGGACGTAGCGCATCCAAGTGAGGTACTGAACGACTAGATTTTCGCGTCTCTCTCTCTCTCTCTCTCTCTCTTTCTGTCCCCCCTCTCTCTCTCGTGCTCTCTCTCCCTCACTTTAATCGTCATATTCCGATACGCATCCATAAAATCCGCTTGGATAATGTCACGATGTATCCGAGATTCGGCCCTGACATTTTCTTCAATCTGAGGATCAGCACTCCGTCCCACAGCGAATAGTGTACGGTAGCCGAACTAAAATGTCAGAAAGGTCGTCCTGAGAGAGATAGAGAGAGAGAAAGAGAGAGATAGAGCATTTTTTGCCGACCTTGTCGTACCACTGCTTTTGCGCATAGGTTGCCCGGATCCCATTTCTTCTCACGTCGTTGTGGACGGCGGTATGGACGACGAAAAGGGTCTGAATTTGCAATAAGGTTTTTGGTATTGGTTAAAATATATCATAAGAATACTCAAATTTAATTTACCTTCATCCCGGGTGGGCATACCGTGTCCGAAAATATCGTCCAGTTGAAAGGTTTGAAGAACTGAAATTGGTGGATTTCTATTGTGTTTCTCTCGCCGTCACCCTTTCGCTCTCTCCCTCTTGTCTCTCTCTCTCTCTTCTGCCCCTCCTTCCCCCCCCTTCCTCCCCTCTCTCACTCTCTGTATCTCCCTCTCTCTCTGTATCTCTGTATCTCCCTCTCTCCCTCTCTCTCTTTCTCTCTTTCACTGGATTAAAGGGAGCGGCATCTCTCTCTCTCTCTCTCTCTCTCTCTCTCGCTCTCTCTCTCCAACTCACCGCATGCGCTTTTGGATTCACGTCATCCATTTTTACCGGCGGAATTTTCACTTCCGGTAGAAGCTGTGGTAATGGGATGGTTGTCGTTTGTACTACGAGCGGTAATTTTTCGATTTTGGCTTTTTGCAAATCCACAAGAAAATCGATATTTGGCCCAGTTTCCTGAAAAAGCGAATAAAAATAAATTTCCAGCGTCCAGAGCTTACCTTAGAATTTGGCCCTATCGCTCCATCTGCCGTCGGTTTCAGGTACGGGGTGGGAATTAGAGCTGTAAATTAAATTTATGGTTTTTATATTAATTTAATTTGAATCTAAAATACAGGGTGTCCCATAAAAAAGCACCCCTCCGGCATTTCGCCGTATTACATCCGATCGGTCCGAAATTTGGACTGGAGGTGTATCAGACCCTAAATAACCACAATCCTGAGTTATAGCCCGATCGCTACAGTAGTTTTCGAGTTATCGTCAAAATACTGTTTTTTTACGCGGTTTTTAACAGATTTTTCGGCTATCTTTTGGACTTTGCATCGATTTGCATCGACTTCCGGCTGCGAATCCCTAATTTCGCTTAATATCGGGGGTGACTTTACGTTACAAAAATTGTTGAAATCAATGGTTATTTAATGAATTTTTATTAGGAAAAAATTTCTAGGGGTAAAGAAGGCTTGCCGCTTCATTTTCACTTAATATTCGAAGGGTTGCTTTCGACGAAAACCATATGAAAAACGGATAATAAAGTTTATTTTTGTTGTATCTCGAAGATTACTGTAGCTGGCGGGCTATAGCTCAGGATTGTGGTTATTTAGGGTCTGATACACCTCTGGTCCAAATTTGGGACAGATCGGATGTAATACGGCGAAATGCCGGAGGGGTGCTTTTTTATGGGACACCCTGTAGTTAATGTGCATTATTTAGTTTTGTCTGAAATCTATGTATTGTATTGTATTAAATTAAATGTATTAAATGGCTTACATAAAGGTATCGCGACACCATCCCCAAACGCTGGGGTCCCATTTCGAACCAACACAAAAATCAGCGTGGCCGCACAAAAAACGGCTAGATATCGCAACATTGGTAATCGCATCTAAATACGCGAAAATTGACAATTTCAAAAAGGTAAAATAGGAAAGTTATATATAGGATAAAAATAAAATATATAAAATAGGCATTTTTAAAAGCACTTCTGAGAAAATCGGTTCTTTTGTATTATCGGGGGGAGTGTTTCCCATAGGTGCAACATTGTCCAGGAACCTAATATTCAGTGTTTCAGATGTGTTTTTTTAATACAATTTGGCTTTATTTTAATTGAAAAAAACAACAAAGTTAAAAAAAAACATTTTTTAGGTGAAATTTTGCCATTTTGACCACCAAAAATCGACCATTTTGATCGAAAAATCTAAAATGTTTGTATTTATGAATCAAAATTTGTAAAGTGTTACTTTTAGAAATAGTAAAAAAACTAGTTTGAAACATTTCCCCTATTTAGATTCGAAACAAGGCGATTCACCGATACTACAAAAAAAATATCGGAAATCCAAGACGAAGAACGAATTTTTCAGAGTATTTCTGCCTTCTCAGGTTTTTAATAAATTCGTAGAATTTCACGAAAGGTAGTTCGTAATGTAGCTGATTTGGAGACTGTCTAAATTTGCATAAATTCTCAGTAAAAGTAGTGAAACGTGAGAAAATCGCCAATCGGTACAAGGGAAGCGAAAAATTCGATTACACCCAAGAACGGCTAGCATGCATTGAGAAACGCCAGTCATAACACTGCCATTTCACACGTCTTTTTTGAAACCAGCTGGCAAAAAGAAACGTTAAAAATCTGTATTAAAAATATATTTTAAAACGTAAAAATTTTGGAAAAATGCCAAAACGGTTAGCCAAATTCTGGGCAGCCCAGAACCCCGCGTTTACTTATGCTAATTGTGCCATGGAGGCTAGAAGGTAAATAAAAATCGGCTGAATCGCTTTTTGCGTTTTTTTTAGATGACGGATTTAATTTTATGCTCACCAAAAAAATTGAGAAAATTAGAACAGGGATTTCAGGTCCAAAAATGTCAATTTTTAAGCATCTGCAATTGTTTCACATTTTGCTATCGGTTGCTACACACAAATTTTCGGAACTTCTGAATTTTGGAAGACTAAACCAGGTCGACAAACTAGGTATTCAGAAAAACAGCAAAATGCCGAAATCCCGACAGCCAAAAAACCAACAGGAAAAATACCGACAACCATAATCCCGACAGCCAAAAAAATATTGATATGCAAAATAGCTGTTTAAAAGGACGTGGCATTCAACATAGCGCCCAAAATATGTCGGCATTTTGGCTTCCGTGGATTATGGCTTTCGGCATTTTCTTGTTCGTTTTTTTGGCGGTTTTCGCTGCCGGGATTCGGCGGATCGAAATTATGGTTGTCGGGATTTTGGTCGTCGGCATTTTGGCTGGAAATCGCAGTTTTTGGCGTTAAGATGTTCGAACGGCAAATGGATGTCAAATTTATCGGCCAGCTCGGAAAATTCGGAGAAGTGTTTCCTAGCGTAGGGGGAGGGCCAGGGAAATAGCCTTGCAACGACAACACGGATGTCGAGTGCCTGGAGACGCGAATTTTAAATTCGGGGAACGCGCAAATTGAGCGTTGAAATCTTTAGTTTAGTCTTATATACTAAATTCAACTTAATTAAACGCACACGACGAATTTTACCCGATATCGGAAATGGTAAAAAAACGTCAAAATTCCACTTCTCTAGATTCAAATAGCAAGATTCTCTAAAACTTTTTGTAGTAAAATGCAGATTGACGGGGGAAAAGTAGTTTGCGCCAACTAGACTATTTTATTACACTTCTAAACAGACTGCAAACTACAAATTTCTACTGGCGCGCCACCATAAAATTCCGATTTGCTGTGCAAAAATTGTAAAAATTATCACCTAATTTTTTTCAATTTTTACTGGTGCACAAGTATGTAAATTACGTCGACGACACTATTTCATAAATTTTAAACAGACTAACACAGCTAAAAACAGGCTCAAAACCGGGAAATCCTTCTAAAGCGGAGCCACCTCTGAGCAGTCTTTCTTGGATGTTTGCCAAGCCATCATCCTTAAATGATCTAACAAATATTGCGCGCGTGGGATATTTGAAAGGAGTCGAAAAACATCTACGTGGCGACGAGACACAACAAAATAGGTTTTTAAAGGTGTCTGCCTTCAGTTTTCAAAAGTGAATCCTAAATGGGATTTCCGGATTCGTCAAGCGCGTGTCGTTTTGATCCGAATCCGACCAGAACCGTTACTAGCAAGAATTGAGCCTATTGGAAAGCAAGATTCTAGACAAATGTCATCGGTATTCGTGGAAACAGTTGGCTTTTGATGTGGGAACAGCGGGTCGCTAATTCCACTGGGTATTCACACCGTAAAACGGGGGACGCGGCCGCTTCCCCGGGCTTACCAAAGTTGCTATTACAACGTATTAATTTGCCGTATTTGTTAGGAATTTTGCTGTGGAATACAGACTACAAAATCCGGCAATACCTTGAAGCACGCTACAAAGTATAATTCCGATGCGCCAACGGCTGAAAACATCGATGGAAAATATTTCAGGCTTTCCGCTAAAATGAATTTTTCGTTTTTGCTCATAAATGGCGCCTGTTTTTCTGTTTTATGTATAATTATTCCTAAGCATATCTAAGGAATTTACAAATCTTAATAAAAAAAGTTAATTTTTCATCGAAAGATTGATTTTTTCGACCCCAAATTGCCAAATTTTCGATTTTTTTGAAACACATTTCTAATTTTTTATGAGGTTTTCTGCTTTAAACAGTTAAAACTTACCAGAAACCAAATAAAACACGTTGTATTTGATTACTAGACGAACCCGGGAACGCCAGAAAAATCCCGCATACCTACCCCGCAAATTGCTATCATAATGTCGAAATTTTATAATTTCAAAATTCCCGGTGAAACCCTCGAATCCTATACAAAAAAATGTCGACATTCTGAATTTCGACAGTATGAAATTTCGACATAATGAATTTCCACATTATGGTTTTCGACATTATAATTTCCGATATCCTCAAAATTCAAACGTTCAAATCCGGCGCCCCTGCGTTAAGCGAAAAAATAAAAATCTCTTGCCTAGAGATATATAAAAACCGTTATGAATCACAGGGTAATGAGGAATTGAAAATATAATTGGCTCGTTGCTGCGGCCAGTAGATCCGTATTTATGCAGCTTTATTTGGTGACCAATGTCATACAAAGCTGACATCGGGGCTGGCCATTTGGACAAACCCAACGGGATGGACGTTGCAGTGGAGTGTAGCGGAAATAATTAATTCATCGGTGTGTCAAAAGAAAATCAATTAGATCAGCAAAACTAATTTGGTTAAAAAATCACAGGATTCTTGAGGATTTGACATTTTCAAATTTTTCAAGAAGTAGTATTTTTAGGTGCACTGTAACCTTGATTTAAATTGTTTATTTTATTCACCCGTATGCAAATTTGGAGGCTGAGCATTGGAAAATATCGGAATATTAGAATATCAAAGTCTAATTAAAATTTTTTAGGTTTGTTATGGTTTTGGGTCGTTCTTCTGGTAGCCCTTGAAGTGATCTGGCGGGTCGGTGGCCATTTTGTAGATGAATTCTGAAAAATTTGCATAACCACCATTTAAAAAAAAACTTAGAAAAAGCGTCAAAAAATTTGAATTTAATTTAATTTTGTTTAAATTTAAATTCAATTTCAATTTATATACGAACCGGTATATTGTAAAAGAACGAATATAATCCTAAAGTGCTAAAAATTTGAAGCCCGTAAAACGCAAGAATCGTACATTTTTAAGCTTTGACAATTACGGTAAAAAGAGCTAGAGAAACCTACGCAACTCCCCAAACATTCTCCTCAAGGCAGACACGGTGGGGTATAGCGCGAAATAAACTTTTTTGGCCATCATTTTCTCCTCGGTGTGCTTGTCGTTCAGCTCGTATCTAGAGTTTGTAGTTTGTACTCCAGAAGAGTGCAAAAAATCCTTACTTTGAAGCATAGGTATCAAAATCGTAGGTCGCGCCGACTTCACGACCTATTGGCCCGGTCAGGAATGCGTCGTCGACCTGAAAAGCAAAAATTTCATGTATTATAGAGAGAGGGCGAGAGAAAAAGAGAGAGACAGAGAGAGAGAGAGAAAGGGAGAGAGAGAGAGACAGCGAGAGAGGAAGAGAGTGAGAGAGACAGGTTATTACCGGAACATAATGTTGGCGTTTTTCGACAGCTCCAATAATGTCCCCGACAAGGTCTCGTGACATCATAAAACTTGTCCCAGTACAGTACCTTCCCCACTCGTTTTCGGGCATTGCTTCAAGTGGGACGTACCTAAAATTAAACCTCTAAGTAGCTCTCCCCCCTCTCGCTCTCTCTCTCTCCCCCTCTCTCGCTCCCTCTCACTCTCTGTCTCTCGATGTCTCTTTCACTCTCGCTTTCTCTCTCTCTCTCTCTCTCTCTCTCTCTCCTTTTCTTACCAAGGCGAATTGGCCTCCCGAATCACTTTTCCGTAAAACAACAAGCAGGTGAAGGTCCGGTTCGTTTTGATCCTAAATTTTTGAAATTTTTGGGGTTTTAAATGCTTACAAATTCTTGTTGAAGTCCTCCATCACTCCAAAAATATTTGGTAGCAAATCGTCGTCCAGCTTCACCACTAATTTCACATCCGGGCAGAAATCTCGCAGATAGCGCATCCAGGTGAGACCCTAAAAAGCTTCAGATAACAGGAAGCCACTCGTGGTCCCCGCTTCGTCCCCTCTCTCTCTCTCTCTCTCTCTCTCTCTCTCTCTCTCTCTCTCTCTTTCCTCCTCTCTCCTACCTTGATCGTCAGATTACGGTAGTGGTCCACGAAATCGGCCTGGACGATGTCTTTGAACATTCTAGAAAAATTATCGTAGTTTGTGGTTTGTAGTTTTTAGACTTACCGAGCCTCATTTTCCAGTTGAAACTCGTCGTTTTGATCCAGAGAGCGACCGGTGGCAAAAACGGTTCGGATTTTGTACTAAAATGGAGCGATTGAAAGATTGAGAGATAGCGAAAGAGAGAAGGAGAGAGCGACAGAGAGAGGCCCACCTTCTCATACCACTGCATATTTCCATACGTTTCACGGATCGCTGCTCGCTTTTCCTTGTTTGACACGGCGGTATGGACCTAAAAAAAGCTGTACTATGTTTTAAAGGGGCCAGGAAGGCAAAAAACGCGCCTTATCAAGTCGCCTCCGAAGATCGCCGTAAAACCGGTAATAATCGAACACTCACCACAAAGATCACTTTCAACTCCGGGGTGCACAAATTTTGGGGCAGTATCGTCCAGCGGAACGGGCGGAGCCACTGAAAAATTATGAAGAAGGTATGGGATAAAAATATTTAGCTTTTTTGTAGATTATAGATGCTTCTAGAACGTACCGGATGCGGTAGTTGAGCTGGAGCGGCAGCTTGAAAATTCGTCTGCATCACCGGGTTGATGGCGTGGCTGGCCTGGTGGGGGCGGAGCATTGGGTGGACCTAGATACAAAAAAGAGCATTAAATTGATTTTCGCGCTTCCTCTAAAGGTTCAGAAAACTCTAGAATCGACCCCCTCCATCGGCTAGGTCTAGACAGCCCCCAAAACTCCACAAAAAAGAAGAAACTAGCGAATTTATCTTCTTTATCGTCCAAACATGACGTTCTTGAGGGCTATTAGGATAAGCCAATGCGTTTTTTGACATGCCGCCTAGCTGTCTAGACCTAGTGGATGGAAGGGGTAGATACTGACGTTTCTCGTTCCTCTAAAACGCGATGAACTCACCCTGACTGGCTGTGGATAGTTGTAGTCATAATTATGCTGATAGGCCACGTTGATTAGCGCATTTTGCTGTTTTTCTTTATACAATAGATAGATTAGGACTACAATAGACAAGATGAATAATATGCGAATGTCCACGGTCTTCATTTTTGCATGCTGAAACGATTTATTGGAAAGAGAAAGCGAGGGAGAGAGAGAGAGAGAGAGAGAGAGAGAGAGAGAGAGAGGGAGAGAGAGAGAGAATGAGACACGCTATTCGGCCAAAAATTAGCCCCTAGGCCGTCTGGAGCGTACAAAAAGCACCCCCAAACGACCGGTTGTCGACAGGAACTTGACGTTCTCGGCTCGAGAAATACTTGAAGCCGGCTAGAAGGGCTTAATTCTTAAATATTTCGAGCATGAGCTCAGCTACCAAAATTTAAATTAAGAACCTGACCAGAAGGTTGCGAAAGGTAGAAAATTTTAGCGTGGAAAACTCAAATTCGAATGACCGGAAAAAAGAAAACAAAGAAAAATCCTGTATACAAAAATACAACTGAGAACGAGATCAACCTCAATCTAAAAAATCCAAAAATGAAAAGCTGATAATTAGGTGACAGCGGCTGGATTCCGGTCACTGTTGAGAGAGAGCGAGGGAAACCAGGGGCTGACCTGAAAAGGGTTGGATTCCGGGTCTAGTCCTCCTTTCCTTTCCCCTTCCTCTTGCTCCTGCTTCCTGGGATCCACGCAAAATCGACTCCCCACACAAGCCGAAAATTACCCGCCCGCCCTAAATAGCCATAAAAAGGTGCTTTGGGTCAAAAGGGTAACCATGGATTAAAGGAGCATGAACACTAGGCTGAGGCTTAGGCTTATGTTTAGGCTTCGGCTTCGGGTTAGGCTTGGCTTCTGCTTGGTTGGCTTAGGCTTAAGCTCAGGCTTAGGCTTGGGATAGGCTGGGGATGACGCCTAGGAGCAGGTTAGGCTTGGGTTGGGCTTGGGCTTAGGCTTAGGCTTAGGCTCAGGCCCAGAGTTAGGCTGTGACTCAGCTTAGACTTGAGCTTGGGCTTAGACTTTGGCCTAGATTTTGGCTTACAAGCCTAGCCTTTTAGGTTTGTGCTTGAGCTGAGGCTTAGGAATTTGAAACCTAAAAGTACCTTCAAGGCAAATCTAAAAGCTTTTGGAGACCGCAACACCAGATTAAATTGTTTCAAGTACCCGGGAATGCAAATACATAAGCGGCCATCTATCCATCTATCCAATAGCAAAAATTCCAACCCAATGATGGTCCCAAGGACAATCTTTGGCTCCACAATCTCGCTAAACGCCCAGTTCGGCCTTCCTTGCGTTTTTCCGGCTGTTTCTACAAGCAGTTGCTCGAATCCGTAAGCCCTTTTTGCCTTCCAAGTCCCTTTAAAATGCGCACGTCGACTGTTTTGGCACGTCCGGTCGGTTTTCGATCCGACAAAAACCCGGCCAGATCGCCATCGGCACGCCATGATATTGTGTCACTGTGTGTGTCACAAAGAGGGCTTTCCTGTAGTTCGGCAGGCGATAGAGAGCGAGAGAGAGACAGAGAGAGAGAGAGAGAGAGAGAGAGAGAGAGAGACGCGATTTGCTCAAGCTACCCAAAAGGCAGAGGAGCACGAAGAGGAGGAGGTGCCGGTCTCGGGTTCTATTGTTGCCGAACCGGATTCAAATGAGCCTTTGAGCCTCATCCTCCCCCTTCCCTCCAAATCCAAACCAATCGACGCGGCCGTTCCAGCTTCTCTACACTGTGGCTGAAAACTGACCCTTCACCCTCACTGAGGAGTCAATTTTGCCTCCGACTGGTTAACATTTCGTCGCGGAACTCAGTTTTCCAATATAAGTATCGTCTGGCTACTTGAGAAAACTCTAAAGCTAATTTTTGGACGAATTTGGCTCGTTTTATCATTAAAGGGACCATGAAGGCAAAATGGAGCTGATTGTTGGTTTCTGTAAAATCCAGTTTCGTTTTTATTTCGGAAAAACCCAAAAACTTGCCCAGCGGAAACTCGACAAAACGGAATCTCGTTGCTTAAGAAGTTCCTTTTTGCGATTCCACGTCTCTCTCTCGCTCTATCGCTCTCTCTCGCTCGTGCTCTGTCTCACGCTCTCTCACGCTCTCTCTATCTCGCTCTCGCTCTCTCTCAGTCTCTTTTTATCTCTTTCCAGGTAATTTTATAGTATGTTTTTCAGCGATGCTCCTCCACTTCCTCGTCCTCCTAATATTTCTAAACTTGGCAAGCTGCCAATTCACCTCCCAGACGTTCCCCGACCCCAGGAGCGACCCATTTGCATGCAGGTAGGCCTGGAAAGCTTCAAAACCAGTCCAAAACCAAATTCCTAGAATGGCGTTTGGGTCCTCAATTTGCGATCCCTCTTCCGTGTTGAGTGACGATGAGAGAAATAGATTAGCGCAGAGGGTTAATCAGGTAATTTTAGTGTCAAAAGGGCACCGTAAATTGCGGCTGAATACTTATATAGTACATCGTTGTATTATTTTTCAGTTTTCATTAATTTTTAGCTCGTCGGCGTGACCTCTTCGATCAAAAATACAGCTGCACCCTGCGCCCAGAGGCCGGATTCGAATTTACAGGTTAGGGAGAGAGAAACAGGGAAAGACAGAGAGAGAGGGAGAGAGAGAGAGAAAAAAAAGAGAGAGAGGAAAAAAGAAAGCCAACTATTCAAGAAAATTCCAGATTGTCGTCGCGATTCTCGACAAAATTGGTAGCTTCGGAACGGCAGCCGACATCGAAAAATTTGCTAACAATCTGAAACGGCGATACCAAAATCACCAGGTCAGATATTGCAACCCAGATGGTTGAAAATTCAATTTAATTGCAGGATATCGGGCTCTGCGATACCTTTGTGCTAATTGTCAACTCAAGACAGGATCGTCAGGTAGTACAAAAATTAGAAAATAACAAAATAAATCATTTTAGGTCTTCACTGTCGCCGGGCGAGACGCTAAACTCAGCAAAGAAACGCTGAAACGGGCTTTTGAATCGAATATTGGGCATTTTAAGGTATGCGCCCGATACCTGAGAATAGTATTAATTTACCAACACTATTTTAGACTAACAAATTCGCTCTTGGTCTGGAGGGAATGGTCGAGATGATCACGGCAGCCTACAGCAATGCTCATATCGTCCAAGTCCCGACGCCTGTTGAGGGATTCAGGCAGGAAGGATTTGAGTGAGTGGAGCTGGCTAACTGTCTCGCTCTCTTTCTCGCCATCTCTCTTTGTCTCGATCTCTCTCCCACCGTCTCTCTCTCTCCCTCTCTCTCCCCTCTCTCTCTCTCTCTCTCTCTCTCTCTCTCTCTCTCTCTCTCTCTCTCTCTCTCCGTCTCTTGATCTCGCGCCTTCTAAAACAATTTTTTAGATCCTCCATCCCTCCTGCCTCCCAGCAACAATTTCGAGCGGCCGCCGTCCCAACTCAAACCCAAGAAAAGTTTGAAGAACTGGTCGGGAATGTGGGTGTGGTTGCACCTTTAAACTGATCAGAGATCACCTTTTAGGTCGCCGAAGAAGACCGCGCCTGGGTGGACATCATGTCGATAGCAGCGGCGCGTTGCGGCGAGACTGGGGACTTTGCCAAGGCGGTCAGATCTGTTGTGGAAGGTGGGGTCCGATGCTTTAAAGGAACGGTGACATCAGAAGTGAAAAAAACGTAAAATTATCCTGTTTTAGAAGCCATGGCCATCTCCGTGAAGCTCATCTCTGATCCGCGCTACAATGCCATTGAGGAAGAGGTGAGATTTTTGACTTCCGAGCTTCTTTAAAGTCGAAAATTGCGAAAATCAACCCCTTCCTCGACTAGGTCTCGACAGCTACGCAACACGCCAAAAAAAGCGTCAGGTTCCTGTAACAAAACGGATTTTGACCGAAAATAAGGAATTTCCACCGTTTTGGCGGAGTGTTGTGTAACTGTCCAGGCCTAGTCGATCTAAGGGGGTCGATTTTGCGGCGGGTCTAGCCCCTTTAAAAGGCTTTTGAAGCTTTCTTCTAGCTGTCACGGTCCCTTTAAGAATAATCTTGTTTTTCCAGGTCGAGTCCAACAAGGAAATCCTGGGCATCCGCGATTCAGCATGGAAGAAAGCTGCCGAATCTTGGGTCCTGCCACTCCTGCAGAAGCACAAGGAGGCGGTGGGTCGCGTAATTTAGGCTTAGGCTTCGGCTAAGGCCAAGGCTTAGGCTTAGGCTTAGGCGTGGGCTTAGGCTTGGGCTTAGACTTAAGCTTAGGCTTAGGCTTCTGCAACGGGACCCAACATATCATAATTTTCAGGTACGTGCCGGCGCCGCCCAGGCCTGCCCCGCGCTAAATCCACACAAATTCCTGACGACCCCGAATATTTTGAGGCGACATCGTCATTAAGCCGGAGCGAATATGATTCAACTTGAAAATCTTTGTTAAATCCTTTAAAAATCGTGAAATCTTATCCAGAGTATTTATAAAAGCTTTTTATCTATTTATTTTCAAATTAAATTATCGATTCTTGACGGGTGCCTTAGCTATGCTTTGCGAAGTTTTGATTAATAATGTAATTTTGTTGTAATGTTTTACTGTTTGTGTGTGTTATTTTCCATTCTGCACTCTCAATAAATTTATTGCAAACCCAGAGAGACCAATAAAAAATCGAAAAAGGTTCACTGAGGCCCAGGATAAATCACATTACAAATTGGCCGCCGATGCGAATTAGGCACTACAGGCTACAACTGAAAAAGGGAATATGTTCGTCAACTGGAGCAATGCGTAGGCGTAGGCTTAGGCTGAGGAGGGCGGGAATCTCACAGAAAGAAAAGGGCCAGAGGAGTGTAACGGAATCGTATAATCCGGGAGTAAAGCTTCGAGGAATACTGCGTAATATAAGGAAATGCCGAGAAAATGATTATTAGGTTCAAGCGTTATAAACTGGAAATTCCGAAAATCCCTAATTCCGCTTCTCGAAGCCGGCGTTGATCTCTTCGACAGTCTTGCCCTTGGTTTCCGGGACGTACCTGGAAATTACCAAATGAACTCTGCTAGTCTGCCCTTACCATTCCTAATGATCTCTGCTAGCCTGCCCCTTCCATTCCCAAATGATCTCTGCTAGCCTGCCCCTTCCATTCCCAAATGATCTCTGCTAGCCTGCTCCTTCCATTCCCAAATGATCTCTGTTAGCCTGCCCTTTACAATTGACTTGAAAGCTCACTTCCACGTGAAGAAGATGAACAGCACGAGGAAGCCGGAGAAGATCAGGAACGCGTATTGGCCGAGCATTTGCTGGAAATTGATTGTTAGTTCGGTTTCCGTCGGAATTTCATACCGTAAGCGGAAGGAAGAAGAGGCCGACGAGGAAGTTGGCCGTCCAGTTGACCATGGCCGCGACGGAAGAGGCCGGGCCACGAGCGCCAGAGCCGAAGATCTCGGAGACGAAGAACCACGGGATCGAGCCTGGAAAGGGATAGTTTTTAATCGAGCGTGACGGCTGGGTCATTTAAAGCTAAAATGCCTAACCAGGTCCGGTCGCGAATCCGATGACGAAGAGCAGCACAAATCCGATGGCACCGTACGACCAGGCGTTCGTTTGGCCCTTCTGAGTAAGAACTACATTGAATGCTGTAGAAAAACTACCGTAATCATGCCCAGCGCTAAGACGATGAGCAGTGAGGCGATGAACATCACCGACAACCCCGTCAAGTGCAGCGAGCGACGGCCGAATTTTGGGTGGTCAACCTAGAGTTAATTTTTCAAATCATAAGTCCAAAATAATCTCTGCTAGCCTGCCCTTTCCATGCCCAAAAGGTCTCTACTAGTCTGCCCTTGCACTCACCAGCCAGACCGAGATGATGGTCATCAGCACGTTAATGGCTCCCATGGCGATCGTGGCGTACGTTGCCTAAAATTGCCTATTTCCGGTTTTAAGAGAATAACTTACCGAGACACCATGAAGGCCGGCGCTCTCGAAGATGGAGGTGGAGAAGAACATGGCGGCGTTGATGCCTGAAACGCAAGTGATAAGATCACTCAAACTCTTTCACTCTCTCATTCACACTCTCTCTCTCTCTCCCTCTCTCGCCACCCACCGGACAACTGCTGCGACAACATCATCATGATGGCGATGAACATCGGCCAGCGTAGCGGAATCTTGAAGAGATCCCCCATCTGCACCTTGGGCGTGTTCTGAGCGGCGACGGCCTCTTCTCGAATCTCGTTCAGCTCGTCGGTGACGTCATCTTGGGCGCGGAGCTTCTAGAAACACCCAATTTTTGGAAGTTTCCAATTCTAGCCCACCTTCAGGGCAGCTTCGGCCTTCTCGGGCTGATTCTTGACGACGAGGGAGTATTTAGGGGATTCGGGGCACAGGGGCAACATGATCAGCTGCAGGATGGCCGGGATGACGGTCATGGCTGAAAAGGAAACTTTAGAAAGCTCTTCCTTCACCTTTAAAGGGGCCAGCAAGGCAAGACTATGAGTTCTGTGACTCCGGGCTTTATACGAAGTTTGACGCACCCCGCGACACGCAACGCGTCTTGCCTTCAAGGGGACGAGCGGCAAGTACGCTATATGTCAGGTGTCGCGTTGTGTGCCGTATTACGTGTTGCACTGATCGAGTTGACTGACACGTCCCACGCTATTTTCTGTGGTGCATTACGTGTCGCGTTACGGGTCGCGTCGCGCATCGCGTTCTGCTATGCGTGAAGTATCGCGTTGCGTGTCGCCATACGAGTAACGTTGCGAGTGAAGTTGCGTCTCACGTTATGCGATGCGTGACGCATCAATTTTTTGGTCGCGTTGCTGGACGCGTTACGCCGGGTTGCATGTCGCGTCGTGTGTCGCGCTGTTGGTTGCGTCGCGCTGTTGGTTGCGTCACACGTTGCGTTGCGTGTCATGTTGTGTGTCGCGTTCCGTCTCGACTTACGTGACACGTTATACGCTGTGTTGCCTTGCGTATCGCATTGCTTCTCGCGGGGCTAGTCGCGTTGCGGCTCGCCTTGCGCTGCGTGCCGAGCCACGCTCCGCCTAGCCTATCGTTTGCTTGTCGCATCACGCGTACGACTCTCTAGTCTCCGACCGTTCTAAAGTACCATTGAAATGACCCACCAAAAATCCAGGGCCACCGGTTGACGGTGCCGAAGAGGAAGTCGAGCCCGAGCACCTGGGAGACGAGGATGGCGATAGTGACGAAGAGCTGGTGGATCGAGCCGAGGGTTCCGCGGAGGTTGATAGGAGAGACTTCGGTGAGGAACATCGGCACCAGACCGGAAGCGAGACCTAGAGGATTTGGTGTTGAAGAGAGAGAGAGAGAGAGAGAGTGAGAGATGTCGCTATTCTACTTACCGCTGTGGAATCCGATCACAAATCGTCCGGCAATCATCAACGGGTACAGGTTCACCGACTTGCACAACGTCATCAAGGCGGCGGCGATGAAGGCGAAGATGTTGTTGAGGAGGAGCGCTCCCTAAGAAAAATCTTCTCAGTGAAAGAGAGAGAAATAGAAAGAGGAAGAGAGAGCTGGGGATAGAGAGACACAGAGAGAGAGACAGAGAGAGCGAGAGAGAGAGAACGAGAGAGAGAGAGAGAGAGAGAGAGAGAGAGAGAGAGAGCTTACCTTCCGGCCAAATCGGTCAGCAAACCATCCGGACGACAATCCACCAATCATACCACCGAAGGCAAAGATGGCGACGGCTGCTGACCTAAAACACGCTGATTTTGACGTCTTCTTAAAGGTCTTTCTTTAAAAGGTTCATCGAGCACTAGATTCGACCCCTTTCATCCGCTGGGTCTCGACAGCTACGCGAAATCCCAAAAAGCCTGTTTCGCAACCAAATTTTGCTTCAACGGGATTTTTCTAGTCTCGATAATGGTGAGATCCAGGTGTATTTTATCGTTTCGCATTGTCTAGGCCTAGTCGCGGGAAAGGGTCGATTCTCGAGCTTACTAGCGCCTTTAAGACCCACCAGAGCAGCGTCCGATTCGCATCAGATAGCGGGGTCCCAAAGGTCGCGCGGTGGGACTCGCCGAACCAGGCTTGGATCATCTGGAAATGAGTTAAGGTATCGATTTTTTTAGTTTTTCGTTGTCACCATCCCTTGAAAATTGAGCTTGAGCTTACCGGTCCCGGGGCATTGATGCATCCGATGTGGTAGCCAAACTGGAACGAGCCCCAGACGATGGCCAGGGTGGTGATGGCCAACGGGCCGGTGAGTTTGCCCTGAAAAAATCCACTGAGCTTGTTATAATTAATTCTTAGCTATATCTATGGTCTTCACAGTTTTATAATTTTTTCAAGTTGAGTTTTGTAGTGCTACCCTAATTTTATAACTTATATAAATGTGTAAAAATAATAATCAGTTATGCAATTTCATTATAACACGATCTCTAGTTTCAAAACGATACCTTGAGCTCCTTTAAATCCAGCATAGTAATTTTCGTACAAAAAATAGTCGCGCCTATCGAATGATTATTGTCAGGGGGGATGATGAGTATTTTGACACTGGTGATTTCTTGTACTTTACGTCGTTCTTTCGTGATGTTTTTCTGTTTTTCTATGAATTTTTCGCTCTCTCTCTCTTTCTCTCTCTCTCTCTCTCCCACTCTCTCTCTCGCTCTCTCTCTGAGCACGATCTCAAATTGTTATGCGGTTACACATTGATACGACAGGAGATACATAGATTCCGAGACAATCCGGGGCGGCGCTCTCATTCTGTTTGAGGAGGAGCGGCGCGCGAGAACACGAACAACAACCTTGTAGTACAAGAGGAGTGTTTTAAAGGGGCCAGGAAGGCAAATTACGGCTCCGATCCTTTAGCTTATTGGAAATGAGCTCATTTTGGCAACCAGAAATCTATAAATAAAGTCTTATAGCTACTCAAATTTTTCCGGATTTTTTGCCAAGCCTTAGCTGGTAGATTTCGCCTTCACAAACCCCTTAAAGACACCGACAACCCGGAAACTACAATATTTAACACTATTACCTCTAGCTTCTTCTCGCCGCGAAGCGGGATCACCTCCTGCTCCTTTGAAGCCATCACGTTTTCGAGATAATTCCCAAACTTTCTGAAGCGCTCGGTATACAAAATTTAGATTAGCGGGTTCAGTGAGAAAACGTACATTAAGAAAAGCTCTCAGAGCACCTCATAAAATCGGCATGTAATAGACAAACAGAGGAGTCTGAAATGAGCTGTTTATCGGTTTAGCGCGCTCAAAAGGGCAACAAGATTTTCCGGGCGAGTTCTTTTGCGGGAAAAACAAGCATCTTGGGAATTAATCGGATAGCGCAAGAATAGGCGTTGAAAAACTAAAGAAGAAAAAGTCATAAGTGTTAGATTGTTTCAATAAAGAAAGGAATTACATAAAAATCTTCTATTATTGTTTCCTACTTCTTTGAACAACAAAAAAATCGTATATTTGGATTTCATTAAAACCATAAATAACGAAAATTCAAGAAAAAGAAAGAATAATGACTAGAATTAAAATAATTAAAGAAAAATTGAATTGAGAAATAATTAAAATCAAGACGAAAGTAAAAAACGCTGTTTTATTACACTAAAAATAAGTTCTAGAAAAATATAATAAAACGGTAAAAACGACAAACCCAGATTTACAAATTTTTGGAATTTTTAGGGTGAGATACGTATTTAAGGTCAGGTAAGGTAAGCAGTATGACATTTTACAAAGCCTTTTCGGGCATAGATTAAGTAAAAAATCAATAAAATATTCAAGTACAGTGCTATTGAATGACAGTGTGGATGGATGGGTGGGTGGCCTCTGGGATATATGTATGCGAATGGGCTCTCCACCTGGTCAAGAGGAGTGTCGCCCACATAATAATCGGATGGGGGTGTGGGGAGAACATTTGAATATGGCAGAGACGCAGAGAGAGAGAGAGAGAGAGAGAGAGAGAGAGAGAGAAAGAGAGAGAAACAGAACACCTGAGGCCTCAGGGGGGTCATTCGGTCAGCTAAACAAAGAGTGCACGTGTCCAGAAATGGCCGGCTTTGGGAAGGGGCTAATGGGGGTGTTTTGATCTAGTGAAAAGTTCTAGATTTTTCGCGTTTCACTCGCTTTCTTCCTCTCTATCTCGCTTTCTCTCTCGCTCTCTCTCGCTCTCTCTCTGTCTTTCTCTCCCTCTCTCTCTCTCACTCTCTCTCGCTCTCTCTCCCAACGAAATTTCTAACGCAAAAAACAAATAAGAAATAGCAAATCAAGATCCGAAATCTAGAAAATTCCCAGGGACCATGCGACGACTAAAAGCTAACCCGGCCCGCTTCCCCACCGATTTGTTTCTATTTTTTGGGTGCAAAAACAACATTCCGCGGGTTCTCCGCCGAAAGATAAATGGTCTGATAATGATGGGGCGATTTTTCAGGGGTTTCGAGGGGATTTTGAGGCATTGGAAGAAGAGGATGCTAAATAAAAATCAAACTAAACCAGATTTTTAAAATTAAAGAGTAGAGCATCAAAAGAGTCAAACAGCGGAGAGAGAGACAGAGAGAGAGAGAGAGAGAGAGAGAGAGAGAGAGAGAGAGAGAACGCGAGGTTTAGAGAAAATCAACTAAACTGATAAAGAAGCCGACCGGGGTCAAGGCTGATTGATAAGCGTTTAGAACCAAAAATGACAAAAAGCTGAATATATAGAGATATAGAGAGACAGAGAGAGAGAGAGAGAGAGAGAGAGAGAGAGAGAGAATAGGTAGCTACAGGTTCGCTAAAAGTATCAAGCCTCGACTCGAGTAAATAGTGCCCTCAATCTGACTCTGTCAATCAAATCCAACCCCGCGGTCCGGCCCATCCATCAAATAATGGCCCCCGGATCGCGATTTACAGCGGCCGCCACTATTTTAGGGCTGCTCATTGGCTAGTCGGATGGTACCTATCAAGCCCAAAAGAGTAGGTTGCCAGTTTTTGGTCCTAAAGGGCCTAGGAAGCGCAAGAATCGGCCACTTAAATCCACTAGGTCTCGACAACTATGCGATACACCCATAACACGCGTAAAAACAAGCTAAATATTTACCCCACTCTGCTTTTTAGCGGCTATCACGATGTCATCGGTAGCTATCTAGACTCAGTCGATGCAAGGAGTCGATTCTAACGCTTCCCGCAGCCGTTAAAAATAGAATATGTCAAAATCATCGAAAAATAACTACGCTCTGCATTTTTGTGAACAGCGGAACGTGCAAACCTTCTACTCATCAAGTTTTCAGCGGTCCCTACCCGGTCTGGCGAATGATAACTGCTAAGCTTCAGGATTAGAAAAGAATTAGCTGGGCGGGCGCCAGCCGAGGAGGGTTCTCTGGCACTGGCAGGTCAAAAAGATAGAGCAGGAAAACGGCGAGCAATGTACGAAAGGGGCGAGAGAGAGAGAGAGAGAGAGAGAGAGAGAGAGAGAGAGAGAGGGAGAAAGCGAGCGAAAGACAAGCGTGAGAATCGGCTTTTTCGGAACAGCTTTGATATATTTTTTCCAGTTTTGCGACATTCCGTCAACTGGATTCCATAGAAGATGAAAAAATATACTAAGACTACAGTTACAGCTGAAAATAACGTAGTCTAAAATACCGGAAACCAAGAATAATCGGCAAAAACTCCACCCCACCCCACCCCCGCTAACGAACCAGAACGGGAAGAGGTTCTACCTCACGAAGGAGGCATTCCTAATATCGAAATCTCGAAAATTCTTCGAAATCCCAATTTATTCCCCATTTTCATGATGCAAGCAAGGCCTGGGAAGGCCAAAAACGGAGGGCCCGTGATGCAATGGCAATGCCTCATGTGGCCTCGGGGTGCGCAAGGGCCCAACAACCCGGGGTTTGCATCATGGAAAAGCACGTAAACTAGGGGCTCGAGCTTGAATTTTAAAATACAACTGCCGGGAAGCCTAAAACCACCTTAAAAAGTATAAAAAATATACCGTAGCCGATTTTAGGTTAGAAAAAGTGGTATCTCCCTGAAATCCACTAAGATTCACAGTAAACTATGCTAAAACTTGTTTCTACGACGTCATGCTTCAAAAATCAAATGAAAAGGTTTGCGTGGATCAGGATTTTTGAAATCGAACGTCTCTAAAACCCCCCAAAAAAATGAAGAAATGCCCTTAAAAATTTGGCCGAGCCACCTTTGCGCTAAAGTAGAGTAAAATCTGCTTAAAAATCTGTAAAATCTACCGAAAAAAATTGGAAAATTGTCTCGAAAATGGTTAGGTATCAACACGGATACCAACACCTTTCCCCGCACCCCATAAACAATCCGAAACAAAATTGGAAAAGAATCCGGCGGTTTTGAGGTCCCGGCCCGCGGTCCTGGGAAAATGAAAAACAAGGCGAGAAGCGGGGCCCGCTGGGAGAGAGAAGAGACAAGAGAGGGCTAGAGAAATAGAAAAAGACTGGTGAAGAAGGAGAGACCCCAGAGAAATAAAGGGGGATAGGGCATTTCGGGTGGGCCACCCGCCTGGGTCCTGACCTTTTTTTGGCCAGGCCTCGTGCCGGAAGCCGGCACCGGGGAAGAAGAGATTTTTTGGGGGGATGGACAATTGACCAGAGCACACTTTGTTTGCAAGGATCTCTGCTAGCCTGCCATTACCACTTCCGAATCAGTATCGTGAACAATAAAATCGTATTGAAAATGGCAAGGATGCGGCGCACGAATGGTCTGTGCTAGCTTGCCAAGAAGCTCGAGAACCAACATCCTCAACTGTGTGCTCGAGATCTCTGCTGACTCTGCTGACTGAGAATTCCCTGTTTTGCCGTGCGATTTCACTAGAAAGGTAGGATTGCCGCTTACAAGTAGTCGTTTTTTTTTGTGCTTCTAGCCGATGCACTACTGTGACATAGCTCATTCGATAGAACGTGAAATTCTGAACAAATCCCTGCTTTCAAAACGTTCTGGACGATCACGACCTTGGCAAAAACTAGCTCAGAAGGGCCAAGAACTTTCCCGTTTTCGCCCGAACCTGACAAAATTTAAGCTCTGCGTAACTTTCTCTCGAAAGTCGCTTTCGTTCAGCATTTTCTGTTTTCAAGATAGGTTTTCCTTAGAACCTCAGGTTCTATCAAATCAGCCACGTTACGCCCACCCACAGCTCTGAAAACACCTAGACGCGTCTCCTTCCTAGTATCGACTTTTTAATTTTTTCAAAACCCGATCCAACTCGAAAACCCACCTCAATATGCCGGTCCGTCGGCCCTGTCGAGACGCTCGAGCTTTTCATGCGTTGATAGTTGGAGCTCGTCATTTTCTGAAGTTTCCAAATAGCTTCGCTGAAGTTATGCTTCTAGTCTCTAGGCCGCGCGAAAAGCCCCCGATTCACCTTTTTGCCCTTAAAAACACATGTTTTTCTTATCTTGCCCCCGGCTAGATGCTGTACTAGTTGACCTCAAAAAACCGCCCTTTTTCGTACGGGTATGTAACGAATTCCAGTGGCTGCTTATCACTTGTTGTTTCCCGACCCCTTGACCCTCGCGTGTTTTGCAACAATTTTTTTTTTTGAAAATTTGCTGCTTTGCATGCAAAAAATTTCAATAGTGCCTACAGTTTTTCGGGCGGCAGCCGATCCACGGGCATGCGGAAGCAGAATATATACGCAAAATCCGCAAAAATCCGGTTTTTACGGGGCGGGTATGTAAGTTTGGGATGCAAATCCACGAGAGGCACTTCCGCGGTGTTTTCTTACCTGTGTTTTCGGTTATTTACTCGATTATCACTTTATTTTAAGTACTTTTGAACTTTAAAGAAAGCTATCGGACCTTCCTTTCGTTTCTGAACCGGCTTCGTTTTGCCAGTGTGCGCCCGGGACAATGCATTACGCGGTCTAATTTCCTGGTCTGCCTGGCCGGCCTTCGGCTTATCTGCCTTTCTTCTTGCACCCAAAATGGCCCCAAAATACAAGTTAACGTATTTCTACTTTCGCGCAAAAGGTTTGTATTTGATATTTTTATAAACGGAAGGTAATTTGGAACTTTTCCATGCTATAACTTTCAAAAACACCTCATTTTTCGAATTTTTAAACTTACAAATGGCTAAATACGATAGATTATCTCGGATGATGTCGAATAGATTCAAGTTAAATTAAATACACTGTAAAAATGTATAAAGCTATAGAATTCATATTTTAACCTCTTCTTCTCAGGCGAAAACATCCGCCAACTTCTCCAGCTAGCCGGCGTCGAGTTTGAGGACCGCCGGATTCAATGGGAACAGTGGCCACATATAAAGAAAGGTAGAAAAAGAAATGATTTTTAGAGCTAATCAAATCCGGGAATTTGTATAAATTGTATCGTTCTAGAGATGCCATTCGCCCAGATGCCAGTTTTGGAGTGCGAGGAGGGGCAGCTCGCCCAATCCAAGGCCATCGGCCGCTTTTTGGCTAGGAGATATGGTATTTTTTAAACTCTAAAATTATAGCAGCGACATGGGAAAGAAGTTCATTAATACAAAAGCTGTTTTTAGACAGCTGAGCGTTTTGTCTGTCGTTTTTAACCCAAATTGAGGCTTTGCCGGCAGTAACGACTGGGAAGCCGCGCGCATCGACGCGCTGATGGATCAGTTTGAGGACTTTTTCCAGGAGATTCGTCCCTTCTACCGGACGTATAACAAGATTATTGAAGGGAATTTGGTAAGGATTTTGATATTTGGAACCTAGATATTAAAAAACTTATTTTTTTTTTGTTCTCAGCGGATTTTGCTACATTTTTATCTTTTCGAAATTTTGTCCAATTGCTTGATCAATTGAAGTAGGAAAGAAATCCTTTTTAATGTGCTTTTTTTAGGATAACGTCTACGAAACGATCGTACAGCCCGCACGCGACAAGCATCTGCCACTTTTTGCGAAATTTTTAGACGAAAACCCGAGTGGATTCCTGGTGAGTTTGCGGGTTGCTGTGGACGGTTAAGGCATTTTTTATGTCACTCGTTTTTCTCATTACTTTCCATTTTCTTGGCTGTGGAGTTCCCATCGACTTTGCTGCGCTCGTGTTACGCAACGCACGTTACAGTAGCTGGCTTTTAAACGCGCTAAAAATTCAATTAAGGTCGGCTCCAAACTCTCGTGGATCGACACCCAATTGGCCGATCACTTGTACACGTTTATGAACTACTCGAAGGGCGACTACACGGCCCAATATCCACAGGTAATTTTTATAGACCATCCATTTAAAGTTTTTTTTTAGCTGGCAGCTTTCAAGGAGAGGATTCACGCAACGCCCCGCCTACGCGAATGGATTAAGGACCGGCCGAAGACTGTGATTTGATACAAATGTATAGGTTGAATTTTACGGTTGTGATTGTTTATAGGAATTGCAGAAACAGATGTGTGGATTTCTACTTTCTGCGTTATTCAGAAGACTAGCTACGTCCTGATTGCAGGATCGATATACCTCCTATGCAATAGAAATTTGCGAGATTTTGCTAAATACGACAAATTTACGAAATCCGCTCTGCCGGTGGCATTTCCAGAAAACTAATTGTTTGCAAGATTCGAGCAGGTTGTTTGCGAATTATCTCGCTCGAAAGGGCATGTTTTTCTGATCTAGAAGTACTACTTGGTTCTTTCACATTATCGGGGGTGGGGGGCAACAATTTTTTTTATTAATCTAGAAATGCTTAGTAAGTTAATGGGAAGTATTTTTATAAAGAACTTGGCAAAATAAAACTATATTTTAACTAGAACAACTATCTAAAAACTTTGAAGAACATTTTCGAAAATTTGAAATTGTGGGCAAGAAATGCAAAAATTTTGATCGAAAAATGGATAGTTTTTGGATTTTGTAATAAAAAAATTGACGATCTTCACTTCTTGCCTTTCCCTTGTTATGCACTGCTCGTAACGGCTTTTTCAGAGCCCACTGCTTTTTCAAAAATATTTTATCCATTCAATTCACACAAAAAATAATGCGCAAAAATCAGAAACGACCCTAGCTGACCACAACACCGAGTTCAAATTTAATTTACAGTAGTAGGCCGAACCGTAATTTCGTCAACAACGGAAAACACGAAAAATATTCCGAAAAAACTGACACCGGGATTCCACACAAATCTGAACAAAAGTGTAGCCGCTTATTGCATTAAAACACCGGGATTTGGGGAGTGGGGGACTAGCCTGAAAACAGCTCAACTACCTGTAATGGACCGGGGGGCGTATTGGGTACCGGATTCACTCATTAATGGCGAATTTGACTAGGAATCGGCGGATTGGTGGAGCGGGTTTTGGAGGGTTTTTTAATATGGAAATATGCGCGATTTTCAATGGCTTTTTTAGTACGAGCAAGATACCTTAAGTTGGACTTTATGACCGAAATAAAACTAGATAAAAACGCCGCGTTTTTTCACTTCTATTGACGTCGAAAATAATTTTTGGATTTTTATACCTTTCAGAATTTCCTTTGCATATTCTTTAAAACTGTAAAAATTGGAGAACTCCTATTAAAATTCATAATATTCAAAATTAAATTAAATTAGAATCTAATTCGATCCAAAAGAATGCGCAAATTTCAAAATTTACCGGGCACAACCGACTCCAAATTCCACCCGAATCACCACCGCAGGAAAACAAGCACCAAAATCAATAAAGTTTTTTTTTTTGACAACGTCTGGAATAATTGCACTGCCGGGAATCGCTAGGCCTAACAAGCAAGGCTATATACAGTAGATGAACATCTCGAGCAAGGCGGAAATCACAAAAGTGCAAAATAGAAAATAGAAAAATAGAAAAATAGAAGAAACCATCTTTCTAAGAATTATTAGACATTTGAGGGGACGGACAGGGAATTGCCGTGGGTCTGCTTGGCGTCCATTTGGATGGTGATACCGTTGGACTGCTCGGAGTCTTCGGGCTAAAAATAGGATGTAGGAGATGTTCCTTTCTAGCTGTAGGTCTCTCTCTTTCTCTCTCTCTCTCTCTCTCTCTCTCTCTCTCTCTCTTTCTCAGTCTCAGCCGACTCACCTCCTCGTCCTTTTGCGTCTCCTCCTCCTGTTTCGGAATAACGCCCACGATCCCGGAAGTCAGCTTCCGATCGCCTTTAGCCGGCAAGACACCTCTCAGGTAGATATGAGCCAAGGCATCTCGTAGCTAAAATTAAAGTACTATTGCGATGCCCAAAAAATCGATACCTCTTTTAGCCCAACAACTCCAATCAGCCGCCCTCTATCGCTGACATAGGCATGGGAGAGGCCGAGGAGCGAGAAGAGACTGTGAACCTGAAAAATATGGTTAGGGTGGCTAGCTCTCTCTCTCTCTCTCTGTCTCTCTCTCTCTGTCTTTCTCGCTCTCCCTCTCTCTCTCGTCGCACCACTCACTTTGTAAAGCGATGACCCGTGCACAAGCTGGAATGGTGCAGAGTCGATGGCAATCTCATCCAAGTCGATCGTCCGGTTGAGCAGCTCCTCCTCGCTCTGGTCCTGGAAATATCATTTTAAAGGAGCTTGAAAGCAAACTGGATTGGCAACTGTCAATAGCAATGCCCTGTAAACGCTCTAACTTACCTTGTGGAGTTCGGTGTTCGACGGCCGCGTAAAGACGGCGTGTAGCGGAACGTTGTTCGGAGCGTGTAGGGGTGAAATGCTGAAAGGGCTGATTGACTCATGCGTAGGCTTAAGCTTAGGCTTGGCTTAGGCTTAGGCTTTGGCTTAGGCTTAGGTTTAGGCTTAGGCTTAGGCTTAAGCTTAGTTCCAGGCTTAGGCTTGGGCAGAGGCTTAGACTTGGGTTTAGGCTTAGGCTTAGGGTTAGGCTTTAGGCTTAGGCTTAGGCTTGGCCTTTCTGGCTCACCTCAAATAGGTATTCCCGCTAAACGTCCGATCCGACACGACGTACTGCTCCTCCTCCCGATTGCCGAGCATTGGCGCGCTCTGAAAATGTTACGTTGCTGAAACGTTGCTCTAACTTGATGAACCAAAACAAAAAAATAATATTTATTGCAGAGAAAAATCGGTGGGTTTTTGGGGAAATGGAATGAGCACGGAAAACTACCGACAAATCAACTACTCTCACCTTGGCGCCCAGCAATTTTTTCGCCTGCTAGAAGTGAAAAATGGTCAAAGAGTCTTTTTAGACATTTCAAAGGCAAGCGCGAGAATCGACCCCTTTTATCGACTAGGTCTCGACAGCTACACATCACGCCAAAATGCACGTCAACCTAATTTTTTCCCCCGGAGGATCAAAACGAAAGCAAAGCTTTTGGACAAAACCTGCGTATGGATCAAAAAGTGTAAAGATAGGCGTGTTTTGGCGTATCGCGTAGCTGTCGAGACCTAGGCGATCGTAGGGATCAATTTCGCACTTCCAAATCCCTTTAGAAATTTTTATATACATTTTTTATTGACATTTTTCATGTCAACAAACGCCGAGAAAACACTACAAACCTCTGCCGATCGATTCGAAGCGGCGCGATGCAGCGCTTTTTCGGCTATCCGCTGCTCTTGCTCCTGGCGACGAGCCGAGTTCCGCTTGGAGAGCCTAAAGCTTGGAATAAGTACCGTAATCCTGACTTGAACAGGTCGATTGATCAAAACAAACGCAAGATACAACTGGACGTATAGGACGGCCCAGCCATTTTATTAGACGGCAACAGGAACTGAGGGACACACGGTTTTAGGCCGGAAACAACGGAAATGAGGGCACGGTTAGTCAAGTAATCAACGTAAGGGTTAAAAACAAGGAAACGAAAAAATTTTATACTGTTTCAATTACCTAGTCAAATTAGAAGAATAAGAATAGGGATAAACTAAAATTTTTGCTTTGAAGATTTGTTTTTGGAACCGAATTTCATCTGATTTTTAATTTTCAACGATTAATAAGCACAAAAATACTTTCATCCGAGCAAGATATTGATATAACGTATTTTATTGTTTAAGTATTAAATTTTTTAGAAAAATTGATTTTTCTAAATTCACGTTTTTTTTTTACTTTTCAATGACGATTATTGCTAGGAATTAAATTTAATTTGAATCATTATTATTTACCTCTTAAAATTTACCTTGTCATAAAAATTGCAAAACCCAGATTTTTAAAGGTACAAAACGTTGAAAAACAGTGCTAAATCCTTCAAAGAAATTTTTTTTTATATTTTGAGTAATAAGTAATTTATTTAGCTAATATGATCGGTATATAGGTGTATTAAATTTATATAAGCCTGTTTAATATTATTATTCTTATTTCTGAAAAAACCGATTTTTTTTATTAACTGAAAGTGCAGAATAGGGTGTCGGCGTGATGAAAGAAGCAGATTACGGTGTGTGGAAGGGGTGTGGTGTATGGTAATTGTGAGAGGTGGTTGGGGGCTAGATTGCCGCTTTCCAGCTTCAAATCCCAATTTTCTGGGGGGCCGAGTCGACTTTACCTGCTTCCGGCGACTTGAATTGCCGATAGCGTGCTAGGAGGCGGGGCGGTTAGCGAGGTTTTGGGATTTTTATTAGCATCCGGGGTTGCTAAGGGGTTTTTGTCGAGGGGTTTAAAGGGACCGGGAAGTCAAAGAATGGCTGTGGATTTTAGGATCTTTAACGAGCTGATTTCTTCATGCATTAATAGGATTGAAAACGTTTTAAAAAATTAAGCGGACCGCCTAAACTTCTAAAAAAGCAAATTCTGACTTCACCGTCCCTTTAAAAAAACAAATATTAGACACGAAATGGCACGCTAAATATATGGACAGGATTAAGACACACGTAGTTGTTTTTGAAGCACATTTTTGCTGTCCGATTTAGGCAATTTGTACATCATTTGAATTAGAAATTTTTTCTTAGTTTTTTAAAGTTTTGCAAGCTAGCTGTATAGTTAGAAAATTCTATCCAAAGAAGTTGATGGATTTCTAGGCTATTTTTAAGTAGTTAAAGCTATATTAAAGTTAGGGAAATGAAGTGGGAAATGAGACAATCGACCCGTTGCATTGACTAGGCCTAGACAGCTACGCGGCACGCCAAATCCGCGTTGCTCCAATTTTTACGGCCGATGCCTGGCTGTTTAGACCTAGTGGATAGCAAAGGGTCGATTCTCCCACTTCCAACTCCTTTTAATGGACTCGGGTTAGAAAAACGCTAAAAGTTGATTCTCACCTCATCGACGTCCTTCTGATCGTGTTGATGATGTCGGCCGGAGTGAGTCGGCTTTGCTTGCTATCTTGTTGAGAGACGAGCACATGACGTCTGAGGAGCATCACCAGGTACCGTTTTGCTACGGAGCCGAGGAGGAGTTTTGTGGCTAAAACGAACTCATACTGTGTTGCTTTACTGTTTTCCCGTAGCCCTCTCTCCCACTCTCGCTCTCTCTCTCTCTCTCTCTCTCTCTCTCTCTCTCTCTGTCGCTCTCTTACCGTGATCAGTGACAATCGGGAAGCTTCTCAGATGAGGTGCAGATGTTAGAACCTCCTTCAACTCGCGGTACGTCATGTTCTTGGTGATGTAGATGACGTCTTCCACCATGATCTGCTCGACCTTGACGGTGTGCACACTGAAAAAAGTTATTTAAGGAGAGAGCGAGAGAGCGAGAGAGAGAGAGAGAGAGAGAGAGAGAGAGAGAGAGAGAGTGTGTGTGTGTGTGTGTCAGAGAGAAAGCTAGAGAAGAAGACGAAAAACGCACCTGAATCGACTCGGCGGCAACTCGGGTAAGTACGGATACTTCTTGACCCGGATGATGCTCTCGTAAATTGAGGGTTGCAAGAACTTGCAGATGGCGTTGCCCATCAACATAGCGATCTATAGAAAAACATGGTAATGGAAGCTACATTCTTTTAAAGGTAAGTCAAGCCTTAAAAACATACCAAAACCGGAAGAATCGGAGTCAACTGCCCAGTCAACTCGCAGACAATCACCGCCACCGACAGGGTGTGAGTGACAGCACCGGTGTAGGCGGCGGCTCCTGAAAATGGGGTTGTGAAAGAGAGAGAGAGAGAGAGAGAGAGAGAGAGCGAGAGGGAGAGACGAGAGACTCACCAACGACGGCATACAGTCCCGGGTAGATCGGTGGTCCACCCGCGCCGCGCAATCCGTCCGGGAATAGCAGCTGAAAAAAGAAGATTTTTGCAGAATTTTCTATTTTAAAAGATGCCAGGAAGTCGAGTAAAAGCGCGTTTTACCGTACCGTATCGTATCGTATAGCATCGTTTTTTATGGTAGGCTTGGATTTTTTTGGCCCTGGTGTTAAAACCAACACTTATAAAAACGTTTTTAGTTAAATATTTAAATTATTCTATCTTCCGGCGGAAATAAAGCCGGTCAGATTCAACTCGTACAAACCTGCATGAACTCCCCGGTCATACGCCCACTCGCCGCGCCGATGATGAAGGAGGGGACGAAGACCCCGGCCGGGACGTTGATGCTAATGCAAATGGCGACCAGGAAGAACTGCAAACTTTCGAATTAGCATCAAACGCCAAAATAGATACTTACGTTCATCACCACGTAGCAGGACAGCGTCAGGAAGATGGAGAGGTCACGCTCGGAGCCACCGCTCCAGTGGTGAAGCAGGGATTCGGCGCATGCTCTGGAAAGAAAAGCTTTCTCTTTTTTTTTTCTCTCTCGCTTGCTCTCGTTCTCTCTCTCCTCTCTCCCTCTCTCTCTTCTCTCTCTCTCTCTGTCCCTCTCTTTCACTTTACCTCGTATCGTTGGCGCTCCAAGTACAGTTGTTGAAGAAGTCGGCCATAGTTTCGCGGAAGGTTAGCTAAAATTGCCCGTATTTTCGTGTTCCGTCTATCCTTCTAGACCTAGTGGATTTAACCGTCGATTCTTGCGCTTCTAGCCCCTTTAAAAACAAACTCCTACCTTCCCAGCCACATATCTCCCCATTCCATTCGGATACGTGCAGACCCCGACCATAAACGCGAAAAACAGGGTGAAGCCGAAGAAGCTGAAAAAAATGATTCCCTGTTTTATAGATAAATTATATAAAAACTATAAAAATGGCTGCTTTTAATTACTTACTTATTTTTGAAGATCAATCGGTAGAGCCGATTTTTCTGGCGGAAGAGGAAAATGCGCCTGTGTGTGTAGGTGAACAGGGCGGCCAAGATTCCGAGGAGAAGCCTGAAAAATTTGAGTGTGTTAAAGGGAGAGTGAACTAGGGAGAGAGAGGGACAGAGAGAAAGCGAGAGAGAGAGAGAGAGAGAGAGAGAGAGAGAGAGAGAGAGATCTAAATAACTCGAAAAGGAGGGGGAGAGCGAGAGAGGGAGAGAGATTGTGAGGAAGCGAGAGATGGTGAGAGAGACAGAGAGAGAGGGAGAGCGAGGGAGAGCCAGAGAGAGCGAGAGGGAGATAGATAATTTTTACCCCAAAATCGCAAAAACCGGCAGCTCCTCGATCATAAACGCCTCAGTAGGGAACCGTGTTTGGTAGAAGGCCGTGATGGTACCTTAAATTGTTCAATATATACTTAGAAACTCCCATTTAATTAGCATTATAGTTATATCTTTAGTAGGCACGCGTTTTTTCAGTATCGATTAGTAGTTTTTTTAGCTTGTTTCTCTCACCCGGCGTCGTCAGGGGCACAACTAGATTTGAATTTTTTAGTGGGTTTATCGATTTTGAGGTCAGGAAAGTAGTTTTGATAAAATTACCATATTTTTCAACGCTTAATCAGGATTTTTACGATTTTAATACCCCTTAAAACCCACCACTCTGCTCGGCCGTCACGAAAAAGTTGGCAAAGCGGAAGACGATCGCTGAGCAGGTGGCTGCCAGAAAACTTCGCCAATAGTTTTTCACCGCAAAATATTTGCTGGTAGATTCGATGGCGTAGAGGACGGCTGGAAAATTTATTTTTTAGCAGAAAAACTTGGAATTTTACCTCCAATCGGCGCGCTAAAGGTACACGCGATTCCGACGGCACATCCCGTGGAGAGCATCTCCATTTCACGGCCTAAATAAAATTCTTATGATTTTTTTAAATACTGAGAAATACGACATTTTTTTTACTGTTTGTTTCATATTCACTAGCAAAAATCATCAAAAAGCCATTTTTGAAATTTCGATTTTTTTTTGTGGCGAGAAATAAAAATTATAGTTTTTCTGGTCTTGGTAAATTTGTATTACGGTAATTCTGATTCTTCTAACCTACCTTCATTCGAGAAAAAGGCCGAATATTGGCACGAGGCGGTGACTTTCGAGAGTAGCGTGGCAACGATGGCTCCGATGTGCACGAAAGGGCCCTAAAAGTCACGAAATTTTGGGTTGCAGATCTCTCTCTTTCACTCTAGTCTTTCTCTCTCTCTCTCTCTCTCTCTCTCTCTCTCTCTCCCGCCTCTCTGTCTCTCTCATCATTTCCTATTTTCTGCGGACCAAAAGTAATTCGATTCCTCGCCCTTGGCCTCCCGATTTTTTGCATTCCCCCAGAGAAATGGCCGGATTAATCACTTCCCTGTTTTTCGCTGTGGGACCCCAGTTGTATGAATGCCCTGATTGTGGCCCTTTTTGCCTTTTTTGAGGCCCAGATTTGTCATTTGTCATGGAAGATGAAGATGATGATGTAGAAGAAGAAATGGGGGAATCCCCAAGCCAAAAACGGCGACGAGGAATTGAGGCAGACCAACAAAGATCTTTGAGGGAAACTTTCAAAAAGAGAAAACGGGCAGGCTAGCAGAGGTTTTTGGGGATTTCATGTCATAACAAACGCGCTGACCTCTTTTCCGATCGGCAACCCGCCTCCCATCGCCAGCGTCAGCCCGACCATCTTGGCAATTAGTGTGCGGAAGGTGAGGTAGCCCTCCATTTTGAAGCCGTGCATGATCACTTTCACTTCGGGGATGCCACTGCCTAAAAAAGAAGACATTTCATTGACTCTCTTGCTCGCTCTCTCTCTCTCTCTCTCGCTCCGAGAAACACTCACCAACAGCCTTCTCCGAAACAATTTTACAAAATAGCGTCGACATCGCCGTGAAGAAAACGACGTGTATCACCCAAGAGGATAAGGCTAATGACGGTACATTTAGGGCCATAAAGTCGTAGACGACCACGTGCACTGCAAAAGTCGAGATGATCTCTGCTAGCCTGCCCCTTCCATTCCCAAATGATCTCTGCTAGCCTGCCCCTTCCATTCCCAAATGATCTCTGCTAGCCTGCCCCTTCCATTCCCAAATGATCTCTGCTAGCCAGCCCCTTCCATTCCCAAATGATCTCTGCTAGCCTGCCCCTCCCATTCCCAAATGATCTCTGCTAGCCTACCCCTCCCATTCCCAAATGATCTCTGCTAGCCTGCCCCTTCCATTCCCAAATGATCTCTGCAGCCTGCCCCTTCCATTCCCAAATGATCTCTGCTAGCCTACCCCTTCCATTCCCAAATGATCTCTGCTAGCCTGCCCCTTCCATTCCCAAATGATCTCTGCTAGCCGGTTGATCAAAAACCTACAGTGCTGAATCTCTTCGATCGCCACATCCATTCCGACTGATAAAATAGCAGTGATGATTCCGAGACATGCCGAAAGACACCAATCTTCTACCAGGAAGTGTAGCACGTTTCGAGTTTGGCCTGGAAATACAGTTTAAGAAAAGTTAAAATTGATTTCCAACACGCCTGGTCCATTTTTTATCGATTTCTTGTTGATTCTAGGCTTCATTAGCCCTTTAAATTCAAATTTACAAATGAGTTTTACTATTGGAATGAATACAAAATTCCTTACGTGTACAAAATTCTGCAAACGTCTCCGGGGGTGGCTGATCGGCGCTGTGGTCGTCCTCATCATCGTCGCCATCACCTTTCGAGCCGGGCGAAATATCGAGTAGGCTTCTCTTGATGTCGGACATCACGCTGAAACATTGCCATTAATTATAAATGGTTCTTTCAGCACAATTCTAATTATTTATACCAGCCAATCCAAACAACTCAATCAATTTTTCCGAAAATCATGGTTTTCGAACCTGAGCTTAATTAGGCCCGATTTCTTAGCATCGGACAGCATTTTTTTTGTAAGGTTTTAGATGAATTAAGAATACGGTAGTTGAGGGAGCGAATGACTCAAAAAAATCCAGGACTCGATTTGGAACACGGGGATGGCAAATATTGCGTGCCGGCGTTCAAAAATTCAAGATATCACATCCATCTTTCGACCCGGAGAAACGGATGAGAGCGATGAGGGAATTTTTTAGCTCAACCGGAGAAAAACGGAAGCAGGAAAGCCGAGGAACTCGAAGAAGTTTTGCAACTCTGAGGGGTAAGGAAGCTGAAGAGTCCCCAAAAATTGAATAAAATTTTTTTTGGCTTCTTCCAAGTTTAAAGGAACGTAGATGTGTACACTAGACAGCTACCCGAGACGTCAAACTACTTGTTTCTCTCGACCATAGAGACTCGGGAGAGATATCGTTACATTACGGAAAACAGAGTGTTCTGGAGTGTCGCGTAGTCGTCTGGACCTAGTGGATGGAAGGGTCGATTTCAGTGCTTATGTTCCCTTTAATGTCCGGCTGAACCCTTGAAATTCTAGTCTAGGATGTGGTAAGAAAAATGTGTCAGTGAGGCAGGGGGGTGTAAATTAGTAACCCAAGTTTCTGCTTCTCCTTTCAGAACTTTCAGGACTTTCAGAATATTGCCCACGAGGGGCGGGAGGGCCCTTTTGACCCGACCGAAATTAAAGCGATAGAGAGAGAGAGAGAGAGCGAGAGAGAGAGATAGAGGAAGAGAGAGAGAGAGAACAGAGGGAGAGAGCACCAGAAAAATAAGGAAAATTGCTCCTCCGACGAAGTAGCTGGTGACTCAAAGGCGGCCAGACCCCCGGAAAATAATAGGATATTCACCAGATGGCGTTCGGAGGCGGCTATACGTGGGAAAATATGCAAAAACTTGGCACTAAATGCTTTGTACTTCATTTTAAAGGGATTAGATTTCGAAGGTAGCCAAGCTAAGCCTAAGCTAAGCCTACGCTAAGCCCAAGCTAAGCGTAAGCTGAGCCTAAGCTAAGCCTAAGCTAAGCCTCAGCTAAGCCTATGCTAAGCCTAAGCGGAAACGAAACATAAGCCTAAGCCAAAGTCAAGCAGAAAAAAAAAGCTGAAAATCCGGAAAATTGCTAGGTATGCGCTGCCGCGCGGACCGCTCGTAACTCTCCCAGACACCCCCAAAATAGCAATTTTCGCTATGGGTTTTTCAAAAAAAACACACAGATTTTATGAAATCCACATTTTGCAGAATTTTTGAGGCGAAGAACGTTAAAAAAGCGTTAGACGCCCGCTAGCTCTTTTTGATCCTAAAAATTGTATCCCATTAATTTTCGGTTATTTTTTATGCACAGCCCCCCGGTTGGTCATCGAGCGTCTCCTCATATCTCGCTAAATAATTCCCCGGCGAAAATTAGCGCACCCGTCCGCCTGCTAAAACGTGCCCCATGTGAAATGGGGAAAACGGGGTGAAAATGGGAAAAATTCACGCGAGTACGTGAGATTCCGGGGTGGATAGAGATCTTGCGGACTTTGGCCTTTCCGAGACAGAGGCTTGGGCTTAGGCTTAGGCTTAGGCTTAGGCTTAGGCTTAGGCTTAGGCTTAGGCTTAGGCTTAGGCTTAGGCTTAGGCTTAGGCTTAGGCTTAGGCTTAGGCTTAGGCTTAGGCTTAGGCTTAGGCTTAGGCCAGGCTTAGGCTTAGGCTTAGGCTTAGGCTTAGGCTTAGGCTTAGGCTTAGGCTTAGGCTTAGGCTTAGGCTTAGGCTTAGGCTTAGGCTTAGGCTTGGGCAGGCTTAGGCTTAGGCTTAGGCTTAGGCTTAGGCTTAGGCTTAGGCTTAGGCTTAGGCTTAGGCTTAGGCTTAGGCTTAGGCTTAGGCTTAGGCTTAGGCTTAGGCTTAGGCTTAGGCTTAGGCTTAGGCTTAGGCTTAGGCTTAGGCTTAGACATAGGCTTAGGCTTAGGCTTGAGCCTAGGCATCGTAACACGGCGGTTTTTATGGCATTGTCCTTCAGAATTCCAGTCCGTAGTACACACCGCTCCAAATTCCTCTCCCCCAATAAAACCTACGCAAAGTCATACACCTCCTCCAGCATCCCCATCAACATCAAGTCGGTCACATTCAATTTTTGCGGGTCTCCCTCGTTCCGCTTTTTCCGCAGCGGATTCCGCATTGGGAGGGAGGCCAGCATTCTTGCAGCCGCCGCCACGGCGTCAACAGGCTTTTTCCGGAAAAACGGATTCCCGAAGCCGTTCAGGCGGAGTTTTCGTGGAGCGCTCTGGGTTTTGCAGAGATCAGGGATAACGGTAAGGTTTTGTAGTTTGGTTTGGTGAATACGTTTAATACGTTAGAATACGCAAGAGTACAGTAGAGACGGTAGTCTAAAGGCTACTGTAATAGTAGTGTAAAGTAGCCTTTCGTATTTTTTTGACTACAGCCGTGTCCAAAAAATACGGTAGAATTTGGAATCTCGCCAAAATACGTAATGCGCAGCCTGTCGTACTATCGTGGCAGTACGTTCGAATACTGTGCACAAAACTGCGGAGTTGCGTAGCTCGTATTTTTTTGCGGAATACGAGAATACAGCGACAGTGAGCTACCGTAAATGTGTAGCGTGGCGTCTTTTTATTGGAACGCGGTAGAATGCAGTTTACAGGAATTGTCGCGGTGGCGTATTGTATCGTATTTTAGGGCAATCCGTTTGAATGCAGTAGACAGGAAAATAACGTAAGGGCGTGGCGTCCCGTACGCTTGAGGTGGAATAAGATAGATACGATTTTAGCGTATTTACGTAGCGTAGCGTAACTCCACCGAATATAGAATACGGTGATCCAGAGGATCGAAGTTCCGGATTACGTTAGCCTTAAATTTTCCGCCAATTACCAGCGAGACCACTGCGTAACTTAGACTGAAACGTCTTTTGAGTGAATTTTTGGAATACCCAGAAATTCAGACGCCAAATTACACCCCGTTCCCAGGCAATTTAAACCCCCTTTTCCGGGGGGTTCAACTACGCAACAGCCGAAGTGTGAATCGGGTAATTAGCCAGCCGAGAATGGCCGACTACGCGACGCTCCAAATTCCGGACGCCGGGCGGGTAATAGTGGGTAGACTGGAATGCTGAAAATGAGCCCGGGGCAGGAGTCGACGGATAATCCGAGGCCAGACCCCCAAAATCTCTGGCTTCCTACAAATCGCACACACTTTTTGCGGGTGTTCTCTCTCTCTCTCTCTTTCTCTCTCTCTCTCTCTCTACGCTCTCTCTCCCGCTCTCTCTCTCCCTTTCTCGGATTTGTTTTTTACCCGGGAAAATCTACGGAAAATCTGCCGGCTCGGCCGGTGGGCGGTTAATGGAATATTTATCGTGGTGGCCTTAGGCTTTTTGTGGAATTTTTCATTTAAGAAGTTCAGTTTTAGGCCTTTTGGTCTGCAAAACTTGCAGAAATCGGCGAAGATGATGTTTTAGAGGGAACGCGATCATCTTTCCAAAACTCGCGTTAGAAGAGAGAGAGAGAGAGAGAGAGAGAGAGAGAGAGAGGGAGAGAGAGAGAGAGCGCGAGAGAGAGTCAGAGCGAGAGAAGAGAGAGGGAGAGACATACAGATCGAGAAAGAGAGAGAAGGAGAGAGAGAGAAAGAGAGAGAGAGCTAGATATATAGTCGTTTTTCACTAATTACTCATCCGCTTGCCATGTGATCAGAAGCCCCTTGATTTTTTTGCCCTTTTCCCCCCATCAAGCCCTAGTGGTTTTTGAGGCTCGAGCTCCCCGGGGGCTTCTCCCTGCTTTTGCCATCTGGGCGCCTCGTCACAAATTGTCTAATCCGCCTCGCTATTGTCCAAGATACACCTCATTACGGCACCGGGAATTTTGCCTGAGAGCTCCCTCGGGATGGTCATTCATGAATGCAGAGAAAGACGCTAAGAGATTTACCTCGATTATGGCAAACACTAGGAAAAGGGGAAAATATGGCATAACAGAAACAAATAAAGGTATTATTACTGTTACTTACTACTATTGGGAAGTAGTATGGGCGAGCTAGCAAAGGTTTTTTAGGAAATTGGAAAAACGGAATCCGAAACGCAGCTAGGCTATGACAGAGCTACAAATGGAAAACTACAATTTGATAATTGACGATGTGTTTTGAAACCATATAGTGAAATTTTTTGGCCAAATCTTAAAGGGACTGATGAGCGGCAGAATCGACGCCGTCGATCCGCCTAACGTTTTGGATAGGTCATTTTGTAGGGTCCACAAAAGTAAGGTTAGTGCGTGTTTTAGCGCGTCGCGTAGTTGTCTAGACCTAGTAGGACAAAAGGGTCGATTCTCGCACTTTCTAACTGATTTAAACTGAAAATGCGAACCGATTTCTTGATTTTCCGAGCCCAAACCTGCGATTTTATCGAGACCTAGGGGATTGAAGGGGTCGATACTCACCTTTTCTTTTGCTTTTAGTGATACGTTTCAAGGCCGTTAAAACCAGAATTTTAACTTTTTAAATCGATGATTTTTCGAGCCTATTTTTATCAGAATTTTACGTAGATCATAAAGTCTACGTAGATAACTAAATTCCAGTCATTTTTCCATTTCATTCCATTACACAGCTACAGTACGGCTTCCGCGGACGCAAATTTGGTCCCGAAGTTTTTCGAATCGCTTGGGGGGAAGCCCTTCGAGAATGGAAACCCCTGATTTCGAACGGTGATTTACACCCGAGCGCGCCTAATCCGAGGTACCCCTGGGGAATTCTGAATTCTCGGGAATGGCGCTTCGAAATCACAGAAGCAGCATCACAAGCACGAGTCACACGCGGATTTTCAGAAAAATTGACTTACCGTGGGTTTTTTGAAATTTGAAAGGCTGGTAAACAGTTGCTTTGATGTTTGTAGTTAAAAATAGGCGTTGTTGAGTCAGGATCCGGGTTACTGTATTCCAAACGTGAAGCGAGAGAGAGAGAGGGAGAGAGAGAGAGAGAGATAGCGCGAGAGAGAGACAGAGAGAGAGTGAGAACGAAGGAGATAGAATGTGAAAATTACAAAATTCATACCATGAAGCCGCCAATGTCCCAGCTTCCCAGATTTCCGGGACGCTCCTCGATTGCCGTTTTACACGCGGCATTTTTCATACGTTTTTAGGTTGTAGCGGAGATCGACGACGAAAATCGGGAGTTGGTGAACGAACGTCTTGATGACGTTTAGACGGCAATAGGGCAAAAGCAAGCCCAAAATCTAGTTTTTAGAGTGTTTGTAGTGCTCTTGAATTGGTTAGAAATATTTTTGAACAAGTAATTTTTTAAAAGCTTATTTCAAAGCTTCTTGGTGAACGTCTTGGAGACGTCGGACCATCAGATAAACCGAAAATTAGAGAATAAAAAGTTTTTCAGTGTTTTTGAAGCCAGGAATTTTTAGAAATTGTTAGCAGCCGAATCCGATAGTTAGCAGAATTAAGCAAGCTTTAGAAGCTCAAAATTCGGGGCTTGATCGAAGCTTAGACTTAGGCTTAGCTTAGGCTTAGGCTTAGGCTTGGGCTTAGACTTAGCTTTAGAAAACGAATCAATACCGCCGAATTCGACCAACAACAGTCCCGGAATACGAATCTGACGACCTGTGGGACCGTAGGGGGGATTCTGAATCAGGCGTCTACCCCCCACCCGGGTGGGCTCTAAAAAATCAGCGGAAAATTCTCTGCCCTCCTGGACCCTGTTCGACACAGCCACCGGCTGACACAATCAAAAATATCCCCCCGGGGAATGCGTAGCTCACACACTGCCCAAAAAATTCCCAGAAAAATGGGGGGCAAGCAGAAAATCGAGGTGTGGCCAAGGTGGGGGGCCGCGGATAAACTTTGCGCGCAATTAGGGCTCAATTTATCTCGAGGTCCGGCTGGTGGCCGCTGGGGAATACTGCAGATTGTGTTGGATATTTTGTGACCTGCGAAAAAACGCTAATTTTTTGCAATGGAATTTTGGAGGTAAACAGGGTTAGCGGCGCAAAAATCGCGGAGTTGGGGGTTTTAAAGGGTGTGTGACAGCAGGGTCATGATTCGAGACTCGATAACTGTAGAAAAATGGGAGAGGGTGAGAGAGGGTGAGAGAGCGAGAGAAGAAAGAAAGATAGGGCAAGAGAAAGAGGGGAACGGAGAGGTAAAGAGAAAGAGCGAGAGAGAGCGAGTAAGAGAGAGCGAGAGAGAGAAAGTCTCACGAACATCTGGCGATGTCAGCTTTAAAGGAAGCGTGACACGAACCTAAAGGCGATCAAAAATGATTGAATTTTTCTAGGTTAAAAACAGCTTAGAATTGTTAGAAAACAGTAGTTTCAAGGTTAATGGCTGCTCTGGCCTTGAGAAATCTCAGACAAACGTGCAGCTTTAATGATCAGCACATGGTCTATGGTAATTTCTCGGTTTCAAGGCATGCTGTATCCCCCTTCCTCTCCCCTTCCGGGATCGGGAGAAACGAAGCAATTAACGTGGGAATACAGAAATTTTAATAAAAATTGAAAAATGATGCATAGCTGTTTGGTATCTGATCGGGTGGCTAATACTCCGATAACTCGTGCATGTCTCGCTAGTCGGTAATGGCCGGAAATTGGCAATTCCGAGATAGTCAGGCAATGAATGATATTAGATCTCGCGGGAAATCACGAGAAAAGTACGAAAAAAGAGAAAAGGAGGCTTAGCTTGGGCTTGGGCTTAAGCATCGGCTTAGGTTTAAGCTTAGGCTTAGGCTTAGGCTAGGCTTAGGCTTAAGTTTAGGCTTAGGCTTCAGCTTAAGCTTGATGTCGAAGACATTCGAAAAAGTAGTAAGCTCATTTTTCCCGTAAAAAATTTAGGTTAGTATTCAAGGGTCCAGAGGGATACGGTAGAATCCATTTTTCCAATTTTTTAGCCACGAAAAATGAAAATGTCAAATTCCCCATTTAACCTCCTCGATTTTCAATTAAAGCCAAAAAATCCAATTTGCCTGTTTTTGGCCAAGCCCTCAAAAAAAAAATCCCGTGAGCCCAAAATTCGATTTAAAAACGCGCCGCGTCTGCTTTGGCTTATAAAATGGCAATTCGTTGGTCGTTGCGGGACCCATCTTTTTCGTCTTCCATTTTTTTGTGCGGTGCAGCCTAGACCCCCATTTCTCCGCGCCGGGAAATGAGATCCGCGGCTAATATTTCCCGGGTCACACGCCAGCTTTTCGTCTTCATCCCTGCCCCTCTACGCGATTTGCACGCTATTTCGTCGCCTGTTTTTTCGGTTTGTTAGAGGAATTTGACGACTCATCCGCCGGATGGAGTCGGACCCATAATAAAACCACCCTCTTCTTTTTATGGGGATTCAAGAGGAAGTGAATTACTGGAAGGCAGAATTTCGAGTTCAAATTTTTGCAAAAAATCCGTATCTGCTAGATCGGATTCTCGTCAAAAATCTCCGCTAGCCGCCCATTATTGGCAACAAAGCAGATATCTCTCTCATTCTCTCTCTCTCTCGCGCTCTTGTTCACTCCCTTTCTCTCCCTATTTCTCTCACTCTGTCTCCCTCTCTCTCGCTCTCTCTCTCTCGCTCTCTCTCTCTCTGTGTCTCTCTCTCTATCTCCCCGCTCTCTGGCGCCCGCTCTATCGCTCGCTCGCTCGCTCGCTCTCTCTCTCTCTCTCTCTCTCTCTCTCTCTCTTTCTCTGGATCAGGCTTCCCATACCCGAAAAATTAGCAAAACTATCAAAACAAGAAGATGGTCCGAAAGAGAGTTGCGGAAGCAGGAACCCCTGCTTATGAATATTTAGAAGGTGTCCAAGAAAAGGAGGGGATTGGTCAGGCTTGTTTGGCGAGTCCGGCCAAAGAATATTTCTAGCAAGAAGCTATTCTAAGTAAGCCTAAGCCTAAACCTAAGCATAGGCCTGCCAAGTCCACCCAATGTCTTAGATTCACGTCAAGTAAAGGCGAAAAACTTATAGCGTTACACAAAAAATAGAGAAGGACGAGTTTAACGGAATCGTGAAGGAAGGAATGTTATGGGAAACGCAAAATGTTGAAAATCGGACTCACCCCTGTATCCAACTAGTCTTCGGCGGATGCTGATACCTTTGAAGCATAGCAATCGGGCTCAGAATGGACACTTGAGCGATCGGGTCCAGTCCGGAGACCTTCTTGGCCTGCGAGGGCGCCGTCTTGTGGATACGGGCGTACATTTCGGCTGGCTACGGTAGGTGCCGAATAGTGCAGAAAAGTGATTACTACAAGTAATTCGGAATGCTCAGCTTCGTATTTGTAGCATTTGGGGCTTCCGGTGTGATCAAATGGTCTTTGCTAGCTTGCCCAGACTCAGAGTTGACGTATTGAGGTGCGCTTGTCGTTTCTTGGAAGCTCAGGCACGCAAAGAATCTCCGCGCGCTCACCCAGCCTCAGAACTGGCGTAATTAGGTGTGGCTTGTTGCCTAGAGCAAGTTCCAGCTCGCAAAGAATCTCTGCTAGCTCGCCTAGCTTCAAACTTGGGGTAATGAGGTGTAGCTGGTAGTCAAAAGTAACTTCAGCTGCAGCAAATGGTCACCGCTAGCTTACCCGTCTGAAAATTCACGTAATGAGGTGTCACTCGTAGTCCCCGAATCTGATGTAGTCTAGAAAACTCCAGATTTTCCGAGTCAGTTCAGCAAAATGCCCGGCTCTTCCCTTGACATCACCCAACAAGAGTGGTCAGCCGTGAAACTTGGTTTTTCGGATTTTTTAGGCTTCTTCTGCAGTGTCCAGAGTAGCCTTGCGTAGCCTCAGGAATCGAAGAAGAGCCTCGAGATTTGATTCCTCCCACCCGGTGCCACTCGAACGCGCCCACGGCGGGTAAGCTCTAAATTTGGCGGGTGTTGGGGGGATTTTTGCGGAAAATGGAGGGTGGGGAGCAAAGTGAAAAAAGTTGTTTCTAGCGGAGGTAAATGAGGAAATAGAGAATTTAAGCCTGAAAAAGATTGTAAAGAGGAGCGTTACGGAAAATTAGGAAAACATCTTGGATTATCGAGAGAGGTTTAGAAAAATTAGCGTAGAAAAAGCGATGGACCCGGTTTAACTTGTGTAATCGATTACGCTATGAAAAGCGACGGATAATCTCTTATTGAAGCAGGAAAATCGTTTCAAAAATCCATGTTTTTTATAAGTTTAAAAATTCATGTAAGAATAAGCCGAAAAATTCCACTACATTCGCTAATTTTTAAAAATAGTAAGACTTTTTACCAAATTTTTTAACAGCTTTTCTAAACCTACGAAATTTATTCGGTTACGCGAAAAAAACCATATCTAAAATTCTTAGTTACTAGCAAATTTCGGGGTTAATTTTCGCAAAAAAACTGCAGATTTTAAATTCGAAGAAACAACAAATCGGTGGTGGCCAGCTAGCCGAACCAACGACGGGAATTGGGAAATTAGATCCGATGCGCTGCCCTCTTAGAATTAGCAATGACCGGCCACGTTCCTCATTGAGGTTTCTTGAAAAAAATTCAGCTTAAATCCTAAAGAAAATTTGCTGAATCACAGAAGATCTCTTTGACTTTTAAAGGGGCTGGGAAGCAACAAAATCGAGGCTCTTAGGGCCCGCTAAGGACCCCAACCTGCAACCCCCACGGTCGACCAAAAAGTAATAATGGACCCTCCTGTCTTTCCGCTTCTTTCCGCTCTTCCGCTCGCTCAACTTATTTCCTGGGCCACTGGGCTGAGGGCGCAAAAGTTAAGTGCTTTTTGTTCCGGATCGTCGAACACGGCAGGTCTGCTTTTTTGGGGGGAAAGCTCAAAAAGAGAGGGAGATCAGTGGATTTGGGGGTGATCTATGGAATTTCGAAGTCTGGCTTGGACTTCGGCTTCGGCTTATGCTTCGGCTTGGGCTTAGCTTAGGTTTAGCTTAGGCTTAGCTTAGGCTTAGCTTAGGCTTAGCTTAGGCTTAGCTTAGGCTTAGCTTAGGCTTAGCTTAGGCTTAGCTTAGGCTTAGCTTAGGCTTAGCTTAGGCAGAGGCTTCTGCTTAGGCTTAGGCTTAGGCTTAGGCTTGGGCTTAGGCTTAGGCTTAGGCTTAAGCTTAGGCTTAGGCTTAGGTCTAGACTTAGGCTTAGGCTTAGGGCTTAGGCCTAGCTGAGGCTTAGCGCAGGTTTATTAGCCTAGGCTTAGGTTTAGGGTTAGGGTTAGGCATAGGCATAGGCTTAAGCTTGGGCTTAGGCTTAGGCTTGGGCTTGGGAGTGGTTTAGGCTTAGGCTTCGGCTTATATTTTAGGCTTGCGCTTTGGCTTGGGGTTAGGCTTAGGCTTAGGCTTAGACTTGGGCTTAGGGCATACTAAGAGCTTACATACCAAAAATAAAGCTTAGTTTTAGCATCCGAAAACAACTTTGAAAACCTCATCTCGGTGATAAGTTTTACCTAATTTCTCTCGAAGCTAGAGAGACCCGTATCCGTAAAGTAGCGCCGGCCCATCCGGCTACTTTACGTCCAGCTACTTAAAAAGTGAGGCCGACCTGAACAACCCTTAAAAGGGGCCAGAGAAGAGCCAGAAGAAGAGTGGCCCCGTCCCTAGCTTTTTAGGTGTTAGAGGGTGGTAAGCAAGACGGATTTGGGGCCGCCGAAAGTGAAGGGCAAGACAAAGTGGTTTTGGAAGAAAAAGAGCTAGGGGCCAGGAAAAGTTACGAATTTGAAGGTATCTGAAGCTGCAGGATATAGCTTTAGTCAGCCAAGTGTATTTTACGTAAATTAGAAATGAAATGGCTAGAGGCGCCGGATATTACGGATTTTGACGAAGATTAAGTGGAAAATGGTATTTTTTTTATAGTATTCTGGATCAAAAGCCAAATATTTAGGCAAAGTAAAAACTTTTTCGCGGTAAATACAGATGATTTTTCAGCGCCATAAATCCACCATCAAAAAAGTCGCCATCCACCCGCACGCAAATCCTAAAAAATGGCCATGCCAGCGCCAAAGGGAACGAAATTTTGCTTGAAAGACTCCTCCGCAAAAAACGTGTTTTTTTCTCTGGAAATTGGCAAAATTAAGTTAAAAGGTTTGAAAAATACCTAAATTGCTCAAACGAAAAATTCGTATTGGCGAACATTTGTAAAATGAGCTTAAAACCCAGAAAACTCCAAATTGCATGGACCTTTCCGAAAAGTAAGAAGTATTCTCCTTTGGCATCGTTAGAAAACCTAAGAAACTTACAAAATCGTTTCAAACTATATGAAAAATAGATAAAATCGAAACTCGGAAAGTCAAAAAACGTAAAAATGGGTCTTTGCGTCGGTAGAACTCTTAAAAATCCAGCAAGGGTTTTAAAAAATCCTAAAAACGAAAAATCAAGGGCCAGAGTCTCAAAAACGTAAATTCGCTAGTATACCGTTTTAAAAAAAGATTAGAAAAGCTTAAATCTACACAAAAATCGAGTAATATTAAGAAGACCAGCATCTCAAGTTCCTAAAAAATCGCCTGTAACACATCACCAAAAACTTGATTAAAAAATTATTCATAAAAATGAGCAAGTTTTTTTGCGGCGGATATTATATGATCTTCGAATAAAGCAATGTAACGACAGACAACGAACATGGTGCCGCTCCGGACTTCCGGTGTTATTAGCCGAATTTCCGGCTCGGGGGATTCATAATCTCAAAGGATAAGCCGCAGGTGGGCGGGGGCCACGTTTCTCAAATTAGAATAACTTTCGAAAACGAAAATCAAATGCCCAAAAATAAGGCGGGGATAAGCCGGGGGCCGGTCCGGACCCGCGCTCACTTTAACCCGACAAAATTGGAGCCGGAGGAGCGGGAGAAAACAGGTGGTGGGAGGATGGGGGGTGACTTTGTTAATTTGTCATGGTGTCATCAGCGAGATGGACACTTGACGTTTCTGTTATTCATAGTACAGAGAATTTACTGGCTAGCTGGGAATTTGCAGAAAAATTGTTTTTTAAAGGGACTCGGAAGCGCGAGAATCGACCCCTTGCAACTACTAGGTCTCGACAGTTACGTTCATTTTTAGATATAGATGAATTCAAATTTTGTGGTTTTCGAGGTTGTCTAGAGCTAGGTGCGGAGGGGTCGACTTTATTACTTTGTCATGTTGTCATCATCTTGGATGGCTACTTCACGCTTCTGTTATTCATAGTACAGAGAACTTACTGGCCGGCCCATCTGTGGATTTTCCAGAAAAAATGATTTTTAAAGGGACTGGGAAGCGCGAGAATCGACTCCTTTCACCGACTGGGTCTCGACAGCTACACTACGCTCCAAAGGACGTCGTAAATTCATTTCTATAGCCTGCAGGGTTTTGAAACGCTTAAAGGGACTGGGAAGCGCGAGAATCGACTCCTTGGATCTACTAGGTCTAGACGACACTCCAAAACACGAGGTAATTTATTTCTATAGCAATTTCACGTTTCTTAAAATCATACTGATACGTGTTTTAAAGCACAACACAGTTGTCTAGACCTAGCCACCGCAAGGGGGTCGATATCAAGCTTTTTAGTGTTTTTCACGTGGTTTCAACATTAGTTTTCGACGAGAAAGCTAGCACAGATCCTTGAGGATTTGCCTTTAGTGCATTAGTCGTTCCGGTGGGTATTTTCAAGGTCCGAGGAAGGGAAGGAAAGGGGCTTAAGCATGATTTTTCAAGCTTAGAATATAGCAAGGTCAGAGAGCGCCAAAACACCAAGATCCACTCCCGCCAAGAAAACATTAACCACCCGCGTCCAGCAAAAAATTATTATTATTTATGAATGCAGCGGGTGAAGGGCCGGAAATGGATTAGGTGGGGGTGTTATTCCTGTTATTTCGCGGCTAGGCAAATTCGCTGGGTAACTAGCAAAGATCCTTGGGGATCAAATTTTAATCTTTGCTCAATTGTGCGTGATAAAAAATCATAAACAAGCCAAAAAACGTTTAATTTGGTTCCGAACGACCTTAGGAAAATCTGGACTTCTTTATGCTGAATTCTTTTAAATTTTTGCGAGGTTTTTAATTTATAAAAATCATCCTAAATTTTCACTTACTGAATTTTTTCGTTGAATTTTCTAGATGGCTACTGTAGAAAACATCAAAATTAAAGTCACAATCTGCTAGCTCCCAAAAGCTTTCAAGTATTCTTTGACCGGCCATAGATCAAAAAATTTCTAGAAAAATTGTCCACATTGTCCACAAAAACTCCGAAAAAGCGGAAGGAGCGTGACGAGAAAAAGTGTCAA